TTCCTTTTTCCACATCCCTCTGTTGTAGGCAGTTTGTGTCCACTTCGGGCCTGCGTGTTTATTTAAGTCCTCTGACCATCTCATTTGTGGCCTCCGTCTTTTTCGTTTGTAACTATATGGTCTCCAGTGTATAATCTCATTCCATCTGTCGTTTTTCTGTCTTATGGTATGTCCAATTTTGGACATAGTGCTCCTCTTCCTTTTTCCACATCTCTCTATTGTAGGCAGTTTGTATCTTCCACTTAAGTTTTGCTATCTTCCGTTGATACATCGGTCACTTTTGTTTTGTTGCGGATCCAAGTATTTCTTTTTTTGTCTGATAGCCTGATGTTCAGCATTTGCCTTTTCATGGCTCTTTGAGTCTTTGTTATTATAAACGTCCAAGTTTGAGAACTGTCGGTGAGAACAGGAAGTATACATTGGTTGAAGACTCTTGTTTTTAAATATTGGGGATATTTGCTATTTTTTAGTACATAGGAAAGTTTTCCGAAGGATACCCAAGCCAACCGTATCCTTCTCTTTATTTTTTGTCTGCTTTTCTTTATTTTAAACTAAAACTTCTATTTTTCTCATTATCGATTTAGTCAGAGTGGCTGCCTTTATGCCGCATAGAAGGATACTAAATATGTAACATCTAAGCACGCGCGTTTTTATGTAGACACTCAAAGTTCTATTGAAGTTGCGCTAGATAGCTAAGACAGTAGGCGTTTCAAAAGACCGCGTATGTCGTATCCTGTAGGAAATTTTTGGCATGAGAAAGTTGTAGGTGCGATGGATGCTGCGTTTCCTCACTCCGGATAACAGGCGCAACCGTGAGACCAATTCAAAGCAGTGTGTGATGATATTTAAGCGCAATTTGAAGAAGTTTCTACGTCGTTTCGTAAACTTTGATAAACACAGATTCACTGGTACACACCAGAGAGCAAGTAACAGATGAAACAGTGGGTCGCACCTGGCGAACGCGCTCGAAAGAAGTTACTGACTATCTTACGGGCCGGAAAGTTAATGACCACCCTTTTCTGGGATTCACAAGATGTGATTCACAACAACTAGCTGGAGAAGGGCAAAACGGTCACAGGTCACAGGAATTTCAGAAAAAACGACCCTATTTGGCGAAGAAAAAGAAAGTGCTCTTTTATAATGACAACGTACCGGCTCATACATCTGTCAGCGCAATGGCGAAGTTGGTCAAATTCAACCTGTTGCCCTATCCACTGAATTCTGCAGATGTGGTCCCGTGTGACTTCTTATTTTTCCACACTTAAAAAAGCATTTATCGGGCAGAAATATGAGTCGAATGAGGAGGTCACCTCCCCCACGCAAGCCTACTTTGCGAACCTCAAGAAAACGTATTTTTTAGACAGGTTAAAGAAGTTGGAGCATTGCTGGGTTAAGTGTATGGAGCTAAAAGGAGACTATGTTAAGTAATAAATCCCCACTTTTCCAAAATTTTCGTTTTTCTTTTATAGACTAAGTACTTATAGGACTATTTATTCGATAGTTGTACAGTATTATTTAGTTTCTTGCTAAAAATTAGAAAGTTATTTTTATTCAAGTTCATATTTGAGCCGTAAAGTAAATTTACCTTATGAACTTTTTGGAGCATTCTCTGCAAATCTTCGATATTTCATACCTGTGTCATCAGCATACTTCAAATTAAGAATAAACATTCTGTTTAAAACAATACCAGCTATTTTCTTGTCCAGTACCTCTTGCATAATGTCTTCTTAGTAAAAGTTAAACAGTACTGCAGAGAGAATGTAACCTTGCCGTTCCTTACTTTTATTTTGATGCCCTCCGATTGTATGTTGTATCTATTTTAATGTGCGCTGTCTGGTTATAGTTTTCTATTATTGTTATATATTGCTTATCTATTTGCTTTTGTTTAAAAACTTTCATAATTTGGTTGTGCTTTATTATGCCAAACGCCTTTTAATAATCAACAGTCCAAACAAAGTTACTCCAACGTTACCCTAATACTTTTAAACAGAATAAAGCTTCTTTACTTCTCAAGCAAGCACGTAATTTGATTACGTCAGAGAGACTTGCACAACCCTTAGAGGATGTTACAATTCATTAGAGCAAGGTGCACTGATTTGTTTAATCAGGAACCACTCCACCACGCTCCAAGGCTCCAGACCATTTATTTCCTCTCTATAGCACTCTGACGTACCATAGGGGCTCACTATCAGCCAAATGCTTTTCCTGTGGAAGTCCTGGGTAAAAAAAACTCCAACACGATATGCTAACCCGATCAATGCAGGCTAGCGTGAGACGCTCTTTTCCCGCTTTCTCTAGTGACGTATCATCGAACGTCAGGTTTTGGGCTTTGTAAATTTTTTGGATAGTTTTTGCCTTTTTGTTAGTATTTTTTTTTGTTTCTGTATTTTTTTAAGGTTGTCCTAAAAATAAACACCATTTATTAAAATTGCCAGTGCTGCGTGCTGGGGCTTCTTCTGTTTGTAGAGCTACTAATTATCTAGACTTTATGGGTTTTCCAAGATTTGCTGTCTTGATATTTTGTGCTCCCATAGATGGGTTATCACCTGAGGATCGGGCTTGGTTGATTCTCTAAAGGTCGATTCAGATACATCAGTCACGTCTCGTCACAGTGATTGCGCCGAACCGAACAATCCGTCATACAAAATATTCTTTAATACAAATATGTTGCCGGCATTCACACTCATCAGTTGTAACGTTTAAAACGTTACATTTTTGTTCTTATTAATTTCAAAGTACTTTCCACTATTTTCTGCTCATACTATTTGATTTTCATTGATAATAAGTTCTTTTTCCTTTGTATTCCTAGATTTTATTTCAATATTTTTCTATTACAAATAAATCCGCTGATTAATTTCTTAAGTCCCCTCGTAGTCCTACCTTCGCTTACTTTATCGTACAAGAAACAGAAACCCCACTCCTAAATAATTTACTTCTATCAATCCGATCCGACTTAATTTCTTTTTAAAATAAACCAGCAAACGAGAAGGTATTATTAAAAAAATAAGTCCTCGTGGTCAGAAACTTCCAACGGTCTGGGTAAGTTAATACTTTGCTCTTTTTACAACAATATATTTTCATACTTTAATCAAGAACACTTTTAGTTTTTCGTATAATTTTGTGTACGCTAGTACTTAAAAACTGCTTACAATTTTTATTTTCTTTTTACCTTTGCTGTAATAATAATAATTCAATATAAATCGTATTTATCGCATAACTTTGTCTTTTTCATTTTTCATTTAATGATTTATCTATTAATTACAATTATTAATTTGTGAGTTTTGGCAACATCAGATAATTCTGGATCGGTATACAGGTCTCAGAGAGAACAGCTTTCCGCTTGCCAGAATTCTTCTGTTGTTGGACAAAACTCGTGTCATGACGAATTTTGTAGCGGTTTTTGTTTTTCTAGCCACCTTGGTTTTTATTCAAGAGAATCCACCTTGATTTTTATTCAAGAAAATCCACCTTGATTATGATATAAGAAAATTTACGTTGACATGGATTTTTTGGGTCGAAGAATACGAAAATGGAATTGTTTTTTTTTGGAATAAGAAATCCATCTCGATTTTGAAAATCCGCATGGCTTTGGATTGGAGAGGGATCCACATGGTTTCGGCTTAGCGGCATGGTTTTTGCAGACATTGTATGGCCCGAGTTGAGAAGAAAACAGCAGGAGGATTTCTCATAGAGTAGAGCTAAGTTTTTTTATTTCTTGAGATTTTGTATATAGATGCTTAATTCCCTGTTGTTAGAACCTCAATTTAATTGTTATTACATTTTGATTTATTAAAATATAAATAAATAAAGATATGTGTTAAAGAAATTATCTTAATTAATTAATAATTTCCGATTTCTCAAATTAAGTTAGTTTATGCCGAACATCACCCCTGAGGGGTTTCAATGTGCAATGGTTGAGCTAGCCGTTACACAGTTGACAAACAGTTTCCCAGCTGTCAGATAGTTGATAGTTCTGTGACCAAACAGGACCGGTTCGGCGCCGAGACTATGACGGGACTGATGTGTCTGAATCGACCTTAATTGTGCTTTTTTCTACCATTTTATCTATCACCCTTACTTGTTGCAGTTCTTTAAACAAAAAACGTTCAGCGACGTCTCTGGGTACATTTGCTGATTTTTTGATGATGTTATTGTGGGATACTTTTATTTTCTTTGTATTTGAATTGCTTATGTGTCCCCATGGGAGAGATGCATATGTGACTATTAGAAGTATGGTGCTGTTTATCAGTCTCATTTTTGTCTTTATACGCAGTTTACTATTTCTATCTGCGAGTCGTTTGATTTCTGGTCTGGCTGTTATTGTTTTCTGAATGATTGTGTCCACGTGCTGCGTGAATATTAAACCTTGGTCCATAATCTTGCACTAACAACTATTCCTCTGGGTTTTTTTTCGTTTTTGAATATGATTGTTTGTACTTTCTCTGAATTGATTGCTATTTTTCATTGGATACACAATTATTCAATGTTATTTAATACTGTCAGTAGATTGTTGACCGCTACTTTTAAATTTCTGTATTTGGCCGCAATCGGTGTGTCGTCTGCATAAAGGCTGAGTAGTGTTCCTAGTGTTCTTGGAATATCTTCGGTGTATAATGTGTACGGTAGGGGTGACAGGACTGCTCCTTGTGGTACTTCAGCCTCCGAAGCTCCGTGTTCGGATAATACTTGTCCTTGTCCTGTTTTCGAAATCATGATAACAGGGTGGTCAAAAATTTTCTAAAATTGATCCTAGTCAGGTTTAACAATAATTTGTGATTCAACGCAGTTCTCCAAATTTCGAAGTATTATGGAACAAATATTACTTAATACGCCATGTATATTTATTTTTTAGATGGAATGTAATCCCGTTTTGATGTAAGTTTTCCTAGTTATCAATGATTAATAATATGGATAAATATGCGCAAATATTAAAACAATTTAAAAGTTGGCCCAATAATCCTTAAGAACTACCAATACTTCTATTTATGTAAAAAGCTTACCTCGGAATCCTTGAGTTTTTTCTTCGCAACTTCTGTTTTTTCAGGTTTTTCAGCTTTTCGTCTGATAGTTCTTACAGATTTTGTTTTAACTGCACGAGTGTTACTATTCCCAAAGAGTCCTCTATTTTCAGCCATTTGAATCATATATTTATCATCCAAACGGATTATTTCCTAAAAATTATACATATTGACAATATGATATTGAACCAGTATAACACTACAAAATTGAGTTAAATAAAATTAATATTATTTTAAATGTTATTCAGAGTTGTTAAGTAAAGTAAAACGGATATAGAAAATAGTCAGCGACAAGTAAAAAACTTCTTGCAAAGGTACAAAAACGCCATCCTCACAGTGAAATAGAATGAATGACATTACAGCGTTACCTGGGAGGAAGAGCACTTAACTGAGCAATTAGAAAAATAAATTTGTAATTTAAGAACTTATTTTCAAAAGCAAAATGAAATATCTACTTTACATACTGAAATTTTCAAAGTAGCTAATATAATAACATCTAAACTGGTGTAACAAGCAATGGTCATAAACGATTTATCTAAAAAAGAAACCGGCGTATCTTGATGAATAAACCTGTGCATGGGGGGCCTAATGAAGTCAATCAAAACTGCATCGAAAGTATAGCGGCGAACTAATCGATGACATCATGGCGTTTCTTGAAAAATAAAACTTATTAAAATTATCCAAACACAAACGGAACTCCTTGGAAACGTTCTAATAAGAGAAAACAGTCAAGTTGACACATGACTACAAATGTACTATAAAACACTACAATATTAACTATCATCCACAACTTAAGAGAATATAAGTGATAGTTACATTGATAAAATTAAACTTTTACTTTTACTAAACTATATGCAAGGTACATGAAAGGACAGTAGAGAAACTTGTCGGCAACGAGCGTCATAGCTGAAAAGATAAGGTTGTTGACTGGCAATATAAGGAATATAACACTGACAATACTGGCAATACTGGGAATATAGTGTTGCTGTACAATTCAGTAATATAATTATTATATGTATGTTGGCAGCACATTTTACATTGTTGATGTCTTATGACTTACTTGTCACTTGTCATTACACTGTTACACTTTTTCTTGTAAATAAAACTTATTTCTTTTCTAATTAAATAATAATAGTGTTATTATTATCCTGCGTAAACAGGTTATGTGCCCAGCTGCAGAAATTTAGAAAAGTGTTTTTTAAGTTTGTGTTTTAATCAAAGCAAAATTTGTTCTGCTTAAGAGTGTAGTTTGCAGAAAAATTGTGTTTACAATTTTTGCACGTGTTTCATTTAGTTATGGCTTCCTCCAGCAATCAATTTTTTATGGCTAATGTAAAACAATTTAATGGAGCCGGTTTTGATTCGTGGAAATTTCGATTGGAAAGAACATTGGAACGACATGGTGTTCTTGATGTCATTTCTCAAGACAAACCTGCTAGGACTGACGATAAGTACAAATAAGACTTTGTTAAAAGTGATTCGACTGCAAAAGATATTATTGTTCATTTAGTTGGGGATAATGTTTTGAAGATAATTAAAACCCAAGATACTTCAATGGGAATGATGGAAGCTCTTAAAGCTGTTTATGAAAAGACAGGACTTCAGTCTCGAGTACAAATCCAGAAAAAGTTGCGCAACTTAGTTCTTAAAGAAGATGGCAATTTGGGTGAGTTTTTGGTGGATTTTGATAAAACCTTAAGGGAATTAAATGATGCAGTAGGTAAAATAGATGATAGTGAAAAGATAACCACACTTTTATCTGCAATGCCTGACAGATTTAGTTCAGTTGTAACATCTATTGATATTTTATTTCGTTCTGATCCATGCAAAGTTACTGTAGATTTTGTGAAAAACAGTTTAATGGCAGAAGATGATCGTTTAAAAACAAAGGAAGTTACTAGTGTACCTGTTTCTTCACATGCCTTTGTTGGCCAGGATAAATACAAAGGTAAGAGCAAACATACTTTTAAAGTTCGTGGTTATCATTGTCATGAAATGGGGCATATTCGCTCAAAATGTCCAAAAAGATTGTCAAAAAATCGTGAAACTGCTAATATAAGTAATATTGAAAATAAAGAAATTGCATTTCTTGGTAGTCACACAAAACAGGAAGTTGCAGTCAGCTGTGATTCAAATGTAATGAATACTGTACATCTTGTTGTGGATAGTGGTTGTACAAATCACCTGTTTATGTCAAAATACATTCAATTTTTGACTAATTCCATAGCAGTAGATAGACAAATAAATGTAGCAAAAGTTGGTGAAACTGTAGCAGCAAAATTATAAGGTAGTTTCTCAGCTATATCTAAAGAAGGAGTTTCAGTTGCTTTGAATGATGTTCTTGTTTGTGACACTCTTTCTTACAATTTATTATCAGTAAGACAAATTGAAGAAAAAGGTTTTAGTGTGATTTTTGAAAATAAGGAAGTAAAAATCATGATGGGTGATACTGCAGTTATTACTGGAAAATTGATTGGTAACTTATATTTTATAGAATTGCAATTGTATTCAGATGTGGTTAATATTGTTCGAGATACACCTGAGTTGTGGCACAAGCGGATGGGACACTCTTGTAGATTTCCTGTGAATTCAGTATGTGAGATATGCTTGAAAGGTAAGCAGACACGTTCTCCATTTTTAAAGAGCATCCCAAGTGACAGAAAAGCTCGACGCTTACTTCAATATGTGTCCACAGATGTGTGTGGAAAAATTAGCCCTTCTACTCATGGTGGTAAAAATTATTATGTTTCATTCATTGATCATTACAGTCATTTTGGAATGTTATACCTTATTAAAGAAAAGAATGAAGTGGAAACATGCTTTAGGAATTTTGTCGCATTAACTGAATCTAAATTCAACCTGAAAATAGAGTATTTGAGATGTGATAATGCTGGGGAGAATAGTTCTAAAAGCTTTAAAGATTTTTGAACTAGTAAAGGAATAACTATACAATATTCTGTACCAAGGAATCCAGAACAGAATGGATTAGCAGAAAAATACAATCGTACTATTTTAGATAAATCTAGATGTTTAATTTTGCACAGTGGACTTGACAAGTCATTTTGGGGAGAAGCTGTATTGGCTGCTGTGTACTTAACAAATCGAACTCCTACAAGTACATTGTCTAATGACTGTACACCCGCTGAAGTTTGATATGGTTACAAACCTGATATGAGCAAAATTAAATTATTTGGATGTAATGCTTATGCACATATTCCTGAAGAGGATCGATCTGGGAAGTTTGCTGAGAGATCAAGAAAATGTATTTTTATTGGCTATTGTGACAATGGATACCGTCTCTGGGACCCTCTAAAACAAGCAGTGTTTACATCTCGTTCAGTTAGATTTGATGAAACTTATGAAAGTGAATCTCCAGTTCATGTGATGAGACACAGAGATGTGGATGAGCAATTTATTACTGAACCTATTAAAATTGAACCTGAAGTAATACCACCTGATAGTAATCAAGAGCATGAGATACGTAGAAGTGCAAGAGATAGACGTATGCCTTCTTATCTTGATGACTATGAAGTGAGTATGATGATGGCTTTATCTGCTGGCTGTCTACCTTCTGAATTACCTAAAAACTATACTGAAGCTGTTTCGATGGGGAATGGATGGAAGGAGGCCATAGATAAATAACTTTTGGCGTTAGAAAGCAACAATACCTGGACTTTGGTAGAACCTAAGGCTGATGATGTAATCATTGATTCACGATGGGTTTTTGTTGAGAAAAATGTTGATGGTCAGTTGGTGAAAAGAGCTCAATTAGTGGCCAGAGGCTATCAGCAGCCAGTATTAGACAACGAAGACGTGTATCCTCCAGTAGCTGGATTAATCACCCGAAGGTTACTGTTATTCATTGCTGCTGATCGTAATATGGATATTCATCAACTTGATGTAAAAAGTGCCTTTTTGAAAAGTTCAGTCTCTAGTGATGTGTTTATAAAGCCACCGGATGGTCTTTGTGTTAAACCTGGTGTAGTATGTAAGTTGATAAAAGCTTTATATGGTTTACGAGAAAGCCCTAAATGTTGGAATACAACTATTAATAGGCATTTATGTAATTTAGGATTTAAACGATCTAAGGTTGATCTTTGCTTGTATTTCAATGGAAAAACCTATGTTTTGATATGGGTAGATGATATTTTTATTATTTCAATTTCTAAAGATGATGTCAAATTTTTAAAATCAAATTTAGAGAAAATTTTAGAATTAAGTGATTTATCAAATGAAAAAAATTGTCTTTTTAGGATTAGAGATTGAAAAAAAAGATAAAACTTTAGTTGTTAACCAGAAACTTTAATTACAAAATTTGTTAATCGTTTTAACATGGTCAATTGCAAGACTAGTAAAATTCCAATGGAAACTAAATTGAATTTAGAAAAGGAAACTCAAATTGATTTTAAAGTCCCTTATAAGGAGGTACTTGGTAGTTTAATGTATTTGATGCTTGGCACTAGGCCAGATTTGTGTTTTACAGTTTCATTTTTTGGAAGATTTCAAAATAATTTTAATAGTAATCATTGGAAGCATCTTAAAAATGTAATTCGTTATTTGAGCTATACTAATGAGTTGGGATTAATATACAATATATTTACTAAAAATGATCAAGTTTCTGTTCATGCATATGCTGACTCAGATTTTGCTAGTGATGCTAATGACAGAAAGAGTGTTTCTGGATATGTTATTCTTTGTAATAATAAAGTTGTAAACTGGTGTTCTAAAAAGCAATCTGTAGTTGCTCTTAGTAGCAGTGAAGCTGAATATTTGGCTCTGTCTGCGTGTATCACTGAGTGTTTGTTTTTAGGTCAACTTTTAAAAGAAATGTTTGATTTTCAATATCCTATTAAAATTTTTGAGGACAACCAAGGTTGTATAAAAATGGCTCAAACTTATGAGACCAAACGCTCAAAACATATTGATGTAAAACATCATTTTGTAAAAGATATGGCAAATAAAGGAAATTTTGTTATTTAGTATGTTCCTACAAACAGTTAGCTGATATTATGACCAAGGCATTGCCTGTTACTCAATTTGAATTATTGAGAAATTGTTTGAATGTTTCTAAAACTAATGTTTAATTTTACAGTTTATTAGTGTATTGTAATTTTGTTTGCAGTTTGTACTTATTCATTTGTACTTTTGTAGAATTGAGAGGGGGTGTTGCTGTACAATTCAGTAATATAATTATTATATGTATGTTGGCAGCACATTTTACATTGTTGATGTCTTATGACTTACTTGTCACTTGTCATTACACTGTTACACTTTTACTTGTAAATAAAACTTATTTCTTTTCTAATTAAATAATAATAGTGTTATTATTATCCTGCGTAAACATATAGGACTGGCAATAAGGAAAATAAGATTAATGTTGATCAAATTGCAATGTTTATAAATACTAGAATATTGTATAAAAATATTTGTTCAATAGAGATACTAACCTTTCTTTGAAGAAGCGCTAAATAACATCCGCAAACTTCTTTTTGAAAACCTTTACAGCTTTCGCTTGGACATAGCATTGGTAAATTGCAATTATTAAATATATCCGTATCAGGTACCTAAAATCTTGTTATTTTAATATTGTATAATATTATAGTGTAACTGTATCGAATATATCCGACCATGTACCAAAAATGTATGTATTATATAGTAAAACTAGGTAAAAGAATAAATAAATAATAAAATAAAAAACGACGATTTTGGCATTGATTGTTAAATATCTTAAACAAGTACTCATTGCCACACTCCAATAGTCGCCAATACAACCGGGGGAAAACAATAGTATAGGCGAGGAAATAAAGCAGAAAAAAACCAAAAAACCTACCAATTTTTTGAAAATAGATACCTAGATCTCACTGATATTTATTGCATTTCGTTCGTAAGAGCGTTAGGAAATTTTGTTAACTAAAGTGATGATGTCGAAATGAAAATTGGAGTATTGAACAAGGAAAGTGCATTTCAAAGTGATGAATAATAATAAATTTTTAATTCGGAAATGATTGACGAAAATGTGTTCAATATTACTACTCGGCTGTTTTTTAGGTCGCTTCTAACGAATATTACGATAACGATGGTCTCCGAGGCACTTGGTGTACAGGATGGGAGTCGCCTTCTGCAGTTTTAAGGAAATTCGATACAAAATCAAAACAAACTCGATACTAGAAAGTTTTGGGGTCACTAAACACTAATATAATGATGACAGTGGTCTCCGAGGCACCGAATCGATACAAAATAAGTTCAAGCTCGGTCGTTACTCGGGAGCTTTTGGGGTTGCTGAACACGAATGTCATGGCACCTCGTCCCCTGGAGTTTTATGGGAATAAGATACAAACTTTGTCCAAACTCGTTACTTGGGTATCCTTAACTATAACTCATTGGCAATCGTCTTCGAGGTAACCACACTATGTTCATAAGCTTTATCGAATATGGAAAAAAAATTTTTGACATTATTTTTGAAATTTGGAGCTTTTAATGCAGTTAGTATGTATGTATTACTGAAAATAAGCTGGGTCGACAGAGTTAGAAATGAGGAGGTTCTTAAACGGCTGAACCAAACAACACATCTGGTCAATATAATAAAGAAACGCAAGCAAGGAATACTTCGGTCACCTTATGAGACACCCTGAAAAATATGATCTTTTACATCTGATCATTTAGGGAAAGATCCAAGGTAATCATGGTGGTCCTGGTGGAAGAAGAACATCATGGCTGAAAAATCTAAGGCAATGGTATGGAAAATCAACTACATCGTTATTTAGAGCTGCTGTCAATAAAGTCACGATAGCGAATATGGTGGCCAACATGATATCCAACAATCGATAACGGTCATTAAAGTAGAAGAAGAAGTATGTATGTATAGCGTAAACAGGCATTTTAGGCCCATTGCTGGATGGATAATTTCCATCGTTTACTGTTCTTAGCTATCAGCTTCCAATCTTTAATTCCCATCTTTCTGACATCTTCCATCACTACGTCTCTTCATTTTTTTTGGTCTTCCTCTCTTTTCTTTGGCCCTCAGGTACTCTCGAAACAATATTCTTGACTAGTTTATTACCTTACATTTTTTCTAGATATCTGAACCATTCTGGTCTACGTTTTTTACCACTTTTGTTGTTGTAGAGTTAGCATACAATTGGTACATTTTTGCATTAATTCGTCTTCTCCATTCGCCCTCTACTACTTTTCGACCAAACATTCTGCGAAATATCTTTTTTCCCACGCTTCCAATCTGTTTTGTTTAGTTTTGTTCATGGTCCATGTTTATAGTCCAAATTATAGTTTGTATATGTAGATGTATAGTTTTGTATACTTTTATTTTTGTATTACGAGATATATGTTTGGCCCTAATTATTTTGCTCATATCTCCAGCACACCTGCTGCTCTTGGTCAGTCTTAGGTTGCTCTAAGTTTCTTCCTTACATGTCTGATCAATAAGAGTACCTAAGTACATGTATTCATCCACCTTCGAACTCGAACTCTACAACTGATCCATCCTCCACTTTCAATTTAAAGGAGCCCCTGGTGTTTATTCCTTTTTTTGCTCGATATTTTCATGTACTTTTACATTATTAATATGTACATTTATTAATATTCGTTAATATTAACTTTCAGTCCCATTTTAGAGCTTTCCCTAATCAGTCTTTTTGCTATAATTGCCAGTTCTTTCCCATTTTTTGCAATAAGAACCACATCATCAGCGTATGCTAAGCATTGGTGCTCTTTGTAGAAAAGAGTAACGGACCTATTTATCCCACTAACCCTTACAATTTTTGCTAGAACTATATTAAATAGCAAGGTAGACAACAGGTCTACCAATACAGTTGGTAGCATTGTAAAAGTGCTACTATCTCTCCAACAGACGTACTTCTCCCGCTTTTCAACTTTTAGTCGCTAACCTGTCACCTTCACGTTCATTTGTTATAACAGATATGGGTAAATTATATCGTACATGTACATTCTTCGAGCTAATAGTTTATTATTATTAAGTCATACATAACAAAATGCACTTTTATATTAATTTTAAACTACTAAACTTACTGTTACTTTTTCCAAAAGACTTTCACATGATTCAGGTGTTGCACCCTCTGGTAAAACGATATCTGTTGGGGTTTTGCTAGTAAGATCACCCTGATCCTCTGGTGGTTTCTGTAGGTTTTCATTATTATTAATTTCTTTCATCTCTTTGTCCTAAAAATTAAAATGTTGAATTAGATTTAAATAAACAATGCTGCAAAAGATGAAAACCTATTAACTAATGCTTTATTGATTTCATTTATTCAATAGGATATAAACGATATTATATTAAGCACCAAATCAAGAAAACTTTGTTCAAGTCAAAATCAAGTTCGCCAATTCAATGTGGTAACTGAAGCATATAAAGCGCGTACACAAAGAAACGTAACCTGCTAATATTTTGATTGTTGATCGGTTTACACAAAAAGGTTTTCAGTAAAAGTTTAAAAAAATCAAATTATGTAAGTAATAGAAATTGGGTGCACCATTATATCAAAATAATGACAAGGTATATATCTATATTTTTAAATTAAATATCTTTTATATAATTCAAAATGTTATGAGATCGTGCACAAATGACATGGATAATATGTTACTGATAATAAATTATGGAACCCAAGGAACTCCAACAAACCCAAAGAAGACAAAATCGCAATCAGACAAACTAGATATCACCGTCAAGGGGTGAGTAAGACAAGATGGTCAAAGACAAAAAATTATATATCAGATGGATAGGCTGTCTATTTTTTTGAAAACCAAAAATATAGGTACATAAACAAAAGACCAGGAATTATGAAACAGTATAGTAATAAGTATGTAACCTTCTCCCTCCCATTTTCAAACTGAGTAATGCTAATAGCGTTAAAGACAAAATCTACAAATATAAACATTATTCTTAATTTATGTTCCCATTGTAGTCAAAAAACATGAAACAACAATACTTATGGTATATTTTAATGCTAAATTTGTAACTGGTTTCAACTTCCAGAAAGACGTCTGTGCACGTGGAAATCCCCTCCTCCCAGTATGGACACCATGGCAGAATAGTATGGTATTTAATAAACTCTATTTTAAATCTTGACCGCCCGGAGGGAGTGTAGTGATGAGTTAGTTGGATGGGAGGGTTATTGTGATGTCGTGTATTGTTCGTCTCCAAAGATCTCTGTCCCTCTGGCCATTTCTTTTAACTCATGCATAGGCGTTTTGCATATTCCTTTAATTTGGTCGACCCATCTTGTTAAGAGTATTCATCATGATCTTTGGCCTTTTAACTTACCTCGGGTAACTACTGTAGTAGTGACAGCATACTGAACAGTGTAGTAGTGTCTGGGGGCTCGGGAGATTGAGACCTCGGAAGCCCTGAGGAAGGCATCAGAGAGGATGCCGAAAGCTCGGCAAAATGGATATCGACGCGGTTCAACCCGGAAGACTGGTGAGTTTGATATTAATTTTAGTAATAATATTAATCTTAGCTCTAAGTTACATATATATATATATATATATATATATATATATATATATATATATTAAATTTATTATTAACGTGACATAACCTAAATAATTAAGAACATACGTCTGAAGGAGGCGAAACATTCTTGGTTTGTTGACCTTGTAGCAGAGCATGCTGCATTTTTGCTATCTTGTTAATTTCTGTTAAAGTTTTGTCGACCATTTGCGTATTTTCTGCCTCCAATTCGGAATGAGTTTCATAGAGGACAAATTGTATTTGCGGTCTTGACATAGCAAATCGTAAAGTTTTTTGCTGTTCTTCGAGAATACTTGATACTCTCTCTTTAGCTTCCTTACTATCTCCTGTTTCAGTTAATATCTCTAGCATGGAAAGGTCTCCACCCCGGCTACACACCTAAAAGACAAAATAATATTTTTGTAATTCTATCACCAAAGGGCATCTTTTTGACGCTTTTATTCGCGTATCATAATTAGTTTAATACTGAATGTTGAAATAAATAGAAATACTTTAAGTTAGTTAGACAAGAGAAATTAGCAAATAACCAGCTTTTTTTGTGACGCTATTTGATACAGGTAATATGATGAAATGATAGAAAGAAAATCAAGGATATATAAGACACACGTGAAAATATAACAATTACAAATCAGTAATTCTCAATTGCATTAACGCAGCCACAATAAAGTTTGAAAATGATGAATATCCACAGTTTTGGTCAGAAGTCAATCAACCTCGGTCGGATGTAAAAGTTGTGGGTAATAACAGGGATAGTGAGGAGCTAACATCAAAAGTATAAACTAATTTATAGTACAGAATAATTGGAAATATCCACAAACAAAGTAATTGGACATAAGTTCTGGTGCACTTTGTACGAGAACAAGGTAAATGGATCCAACTCCTTCAGAATTGCGGCAGATGCAGAATTGAAGGATATTCTGTTTCAACCAGAAAATGACGTGGAAACCTCAAATCGACGACATTGCAGAGAAAGCCACAAAGAGATGTCGACTGTTCAAACGTCTCACAAAAACAAAGTGGGGTGCCACGCAAGATGTCCTGGTAGCAACATACAAAACCTATGTCTGGCCGATATTAGAATATGGGAGTGAAGCTACAATAATAACTGCGAGTACAAACAACACCTCCAAGCTTGAAGTCGCCCAGAACACTGCCCTTCGCGTCATCACCGGTGCTCCAAAATCAATACCGATTACATCAATGGAAGCCCAGACCGGTATTGAACCAATACAATGCCGCAGAGGCAGAAGGCAAAGACGAATACTTCCACAAAAATGTGACGAATATAGACAAGCAGCCTCACGTCTTAAAACACAAACCACTCCGCGTATTGTAGCAAACCAAATCATGGAAAAATACCACATTGTCCTGTCGGAAGCCGCCCCCTTCCCAGCGCAAACCACACTGGCCCGCTGTCTACCAAACACAGAATTACTGCTTAAAAACCATAACGACCCGAAGCACTTATCGTCAGACATTGCCCTAAGGAAATCCGCCCTAGAGATGATACACACCAAGTACCCAGCACATGAGTGGCTCCACATCTGCTGCGATGGATCCTCGATGCCGGACTCGGGAAGAACAGGAGCAGGATATGTCTCAACGTTCTTCAAAGGCTCTCTACCTGTGGGTGCCCCTCTCACTAAATACGACGGCGAAATTGCTGCTATACACGAAGCTGCAAAAATCTTGAGAATTTCCAACATCCCCAAAAAGTTACCTTCTTCATCGATTGCCAAGCCGCAATCCTCGCCCTGTCGACAAATTGATACACCTACTGTGCCAAAACAATATCTTGCCGCGTCCAACTATCGAACTTGATAGAAAAAGGGTGGCTGATTACTCTACAATGGATCCCTAGTCATGTTGGTGTTGAAGGGAATGAAGCGGCGGATGAACTTGCAAAAGAAGGCACTACTCTTCCACACCCCCTAGCTTCCAATCGTATACATCAGCAAAGTCTACCATTAGAAAAGGAATCAAAGCGAAGATAAAAGAGCAGCAAATACAAGCCGGTGCTGGAAAATCTTGGGTCCACCTACTAGAGTCACCAATCCCTCGCAACTTGCCGAGACCCATTAGTGTAGCCGTGTTCAGAACAACTACATGGCTAACATGCCAAGGGTGGGCGTTGGCTAGTAAGTAAGTAAGTGTTTCAACCACAGACGTGGCCGAAGGGCCATGTAAATATTTTTTTCGCAGAAAACATTTCGTCGATAAATCTTCTAGGCAAACTAGATACATTAACCGAAACGAAAATGTTATTTTGAAGAACTCTGTACCATTTTATATTAAACAAAAATCTTTAGCACACTGTGACCAGATTAGTCTAGTTAATATTTTCATGTAACCACACAAAATTTATTAAAAAAAAAAAACAGATCAGCTTAATATTTTTTTGAAAAATAGAAGATACAATATATTATGTTTCTCTGAACACTGGCTCAAAGAAAACGAATTAACTACAGTAAAGCTTGATAGGTATTTTTTGTGAGCCTAAAGGATAATGTCGTATCGAAGATCGCTAACCGAAGATGAACTTCGCGACCTCGCGAACATGTCAGAGAGTGATGAATGCATATCAGAAACAGAAAAAATACAAGAAGTGATAGTAAGGAAGAAAGTAGTGATGATTCTGCTGTTCCATTCTATGGACAACATCTTTTAGAACCTTCTGTAACAGTTCCTTCAAAAGACGGTAATATCCAGTGGTCTCTCGATCCTCCTTATCAACGCGGTCGTTTTTCCACGGCCAATGTTATAAATATTGCTCCAGGGGTTACAAGGTATGCATGTGCATGAATTTTCGATATCAAAAATTCATTTGACGCACTCTTGTCTGACATAGTTCTAAATTGTTTGTAAAAATTATAAATATGACCAACATGGAAGGACAGCGTGTTTTTGGAACCAACTGGAAAGACTTGGAATGAATGCGTGTGTTGTGCGACTTGTGTAGTGATTTAAAAGGTCACAATATTAATTGTGATAACTTTTTTACATCATACAATTTAGGACAACTTCCTCTAAAAAGAACAAATACAATGCTGGGGACCAGAAAAACATAAGCCGGAGCTTCCAGCACACATTGCGAATAAAGAAGTTCATAGTTCGTCTTTTTACTTCACGCAAGATACCAGTGAAAAGAAAAAAAAAATAAAAATGTTATTCCGACCGAAATGATAAAAAGCCTAAAATTATTTTAGATTACAATTCCAGTAAGGGAACAGTGGATACTCTAGATCTAGATTTGTTGGTATATATAAATGTAAGAGGAAGACAAATCGGTGGCCTATGATTGTTTTTTATAATATGCTGGAAATTTCTGCCTACAACGCGCTCGTTTTATGGACATCAATAAATCCCCAATGGAACATCAACAAACTTATAAAACGGCGAATTTTTTTTGAGGAATTGGGAAAAAACTGGTAATCCAAATAATATTAATAATTTATTCTTTCCAGGAAAAATTTACCAATAACTAAAGACGCACAAGAACTGGTAGAAGAACACGAACAGAAGCGAGTAGAGAAGATGAAAATTTTAGTGAACCGTCTATAGACAATCCACCTCCGCCTGCTAAACGAGCACGCTGTAAATTTTGCTCTAAACCATGGACGTATAAACATAGATGGACACAGCAATAAGATACTTTTTTGAATCTTCGATAGAATGTGATGCTTCCGCAATGAGCATAAGCGTGCTTGAATTTTTACTCGCGGATAATTATTCAGATTTTAAAAATTGGAAGTAGTAATAATGTATAAAAACATGTTCAAAGAATTTAAAAAAACGAGAGTTTAACTATTAACAAATCACGTCTTTATAGAAAAATGAAAATCCAATTTTATTTGCTTTAAAATTAATACAATTAAATATAGTTAAATTCAAGTTAATTTTTTAATAGGTATCAAAATAAAGGTACAATAAAAAATCTTTGTCAAAAAAAAAATCAAAAAATATGAAAATGTTTTCATATGATTTTTTGATTTTTATACACACAGCAATATATTTTTACATAGGTACACAGCAATAAGATACTTTTTTGAAGCTTCGATAGAATGTGATGCTTCCGCAATGAGCATAAGTGTGCTTGAATTTTTACTCGCGGGTAATTATTCAGATTTTAAAAGTTGGAAGTAGTAATAATGTATAAAAACATGTTCAAAGAATTTAAAAAAACGAGAGTTTAACTATTAACAAATCACGTCTTTATAGAAAAATTAAAATACAATTTTATTTGCTTTAAAATTAATACAATTAAATATAGTTAAATTCAAGTTAAATTTTTAATAGGTATCAAAATAAAGCTACAATAAAAAATCTTTGTCAAAAAAAAAATCAAAAAATCATATGAAAATGTTTTCTCCTTAATTTGCTACCCAAATAGTTCGATCATCACTATTATTTGGAAACCTACATAGAAAAATAAATGAGTTTTATTCATTTCACTAATTTATTTGTATCCATGAGAAATATTAAATTAAAAAGGTACTAAACAGATCTTTTTTAATCAGATGATGTCTACTTACAATTTATAAATGTCTACTAATTTCATGAACTCATATCTTATTCAATACATTAAAATATTTCGTTTATTTTATTTCACTTTTCACAAATATCACTCAAAATACAGCCAAAATATTGAAAAATAACTTTTTCCTCATTTACTGTAAAAAGTAAACAAACATGGAACAGCATTTAAAGTTTGACGTAGATTCATAAGACAGAGAAATGTAAACAACCGTTGCCATTTATAAATAGTTTTCAGTGCTTCTACATATAAAATAATTGATTGATATCTATTATACGCTATTATTAAATGATAATGCACACTATGTGCATACTTGATATTTTGATTACAATTAAATATATTAATCTAACCAATAAATTATTATTTTGGTTTGATAGCACCTGTAGAGTATAAAATACGGAGTAATATTTTCAGCGACTCGCGAATAAAAAATTTTAAAACAAAACGTGACAACAGTTGAAGGTGCTGAAAATGTGACCTATTCAAATAATTTTGACTACACAATTTTATGTAAATAACTGAGTCCATCTGTGTTTATACGTCCATGCTCTAAACACAATAACAAGTTTTATGTTGTACATGTCACAAACATATTTGTAAAACACATTCTCTTTATTACTGTCCCAGTTAAAAACTAAATTAAATTTTGTAGGTATTTGTTATTAGGCTTTTATGGGAAAGTAGAAAATACCTTTTCTTTTTGTTAGAAAAAAGTGAAGCACTACACTAGCTATACAGAAAATTATGAGAGATATAGTTGATGGCTTGGAGGAAGGTCATTTTGTGTCTTTGACATTGTGTGACTTATCCAAAGCTTTTGACTGTGTTTCATACGAATTACTGTTGGAAAAATACATGAACACGGTATTAGGGAAAACACTCTTAATATATTTAGATCATACTCAAAAAATAGAAAACATGCAGTTTTGATAGCAAAAAAAACTCACCAAATCTATCGGATCTAAAACAGCAGAGTAACTGTTTGGTGGTGTGGCGAAAACAGCAACTACTTCTTCCATATAATTGGCATCAGCGGGTGTATCAATCAGTCTATCAGAAAATAACCTAATATTTGACATTCCTAATTCGTTAAAATAAGATTCATACTCGTCTTTCCTAAAACACAAAATGAAATAAAATAAAATTAATATAAGGTTGAATATTCGAATAATTGAACTTTGATGGTATACAAGGCAAATATCGACCACAGTAATTAATTAAAGCTTGCCCAAGTACTTTCGATCAATAGATCATCCTCAGGGGTATTTCGTCAGTTGTGGCCTATCCGACATGAGCAGAATGTCATACATGTAAATTTGGACATAACAATACAATACACAAATACGACATGAGCAGAATGTCATACATGTAAATTTGGACACAACAATACAATACACAAAGAATCTTTGTGTATTGTATTGTTATGTCCAAATTTACATGTATGGCATTCTGCTCATGTCAGATAGGCCACAACTAAAGAAATGCCCCTAAGGATGATCTATTGATCGAAACTACTCGGGCAAGATTTAATTAATTGCTGAGTTCGATATTTGCCTTGTATACCATCAAAGTTAAAATAAAATTTACAAAATAATTGTTTTAACTTGTTTGTTTTAAACTTAAAATAATTTGGGATGGTGGCGAATCGTCAAACGGGCCATAGGAAACTCATTAGAAAATTTCCAAAATGTTGAATTCCTGCTTCCGTAATTATTTCCATTAAAAGTCATAGGAAAATATTTGTAGGGGACTGAAATCTGCATTGAAAACAAATGTTAAAATTGTTCGACGAATTAAGCATATTCTAAAATTTTGCAAAAATTTAATAATACATTTGCCAGAGTAATGTTGTAAAAGTTAGGCCACACGTAGTGCAGAATGTCTATAACGGGTTGTGTTTAGTTACAATGAAGTTAGATATTAACAATATTGTAATTTTCAATATTTTTATTTTATGATATGTTGTTTAAAAAGCAATAAAGTTAAAGTAATGGAACAAAAACCTTTCGAACCCATTCGTGCCTTTCCACTCCATGTTGCTGTGTCAGTATGCATTCCTTTAAATAGTTTGAGAAGCTCTGAACAAATACAAAAAACGGCCTCAACGAGTCTACCAGTATAAATCCACCTTGTTGCTGCTACTTTGGTTAAATGTTTTTGTATTAATTTATCTAAAACAGCAACCCTTTTTTACGATTAAAAAAAATGCAGCAAACCCTGATAACGTGTAAAAAAACAATTTACACTCTTGTATAAATTCCACTGATTGCTTTAAAAACAAATTGGGTGTATGCGCATAACAATGAACAAAAATTGCATCTTGATACTGATCTTTACCCTGTTTTTGTAGGCCTCCTCATTACAGCGGCACCATCGTACGCCTATGCGACTGGTTTATTTCCACACTGAAACTCATTTAACCCATTGAACAAAATTTCCGATAATGGTCCCGCTAAACGCTCTTTACTAACATTAGAAATTTCAAAAATATTTTATAAACATCACCGTCGGGGCAAATATACCTAAATACAACCGAAAATTGCGACTGGTTTGAAATAGCAGTGCTTTTAGTTTTATCCAATATAACAGCTACAAAACTTGTTTCGGTAATTTCTAACCTTACTTCATTATTCATAAATGAAAATATGGCTTGACTAATATCGTTTTGTCACTTCAAACTGCTGAAAAAACAGTTGATGTCTCTAGTTCTTTCTCCGGAGCACAAAAAACATGAAGCTACGATTATTATGGGATACTTCAACGCAAAATTTGGTGCTGAAATAACACAATATATAACCGGAAAGTATGGACTTGGAGAAAGGAACGAAAGGGGGCAAAGACTAATACAGTTCTGCCAAGAAGATTCTGCATTATAACAAATACTTTGTTTTAACAACCTAAAAGACGATTATATACCTGGAAATCTCCAGCTGATCAAGAAGGAAAGGTAGTCAAAAATCAAATCGACTACATTATTATTAACAAAAGGTTTAGAAACAATATTACATCTGCGAAAACATTCCCAAGTTCAGACGCAGCAACCAATTATAATCTGCTCTGTGCTGGATTCAACTAAAATTAAAAATAATAAAAACCCCGACAGCTCATAAAAAACATAATAATCGACTCCTAAGAAATGCCGTACTAGCAGATGAGTTCGGAAATAAGATAAATCATGACATTAAAAAAAAGAGCTAGAAAGATCTGAACAAGAAAATATTGGACAAAATATAGATATAATGAATTCCGCCATGGTTATCATAGCAAACGAAGTTTTGAAATCAGAAAAAGAGCTAGTAAAGAAAAACGATTTAATATAAAGTCGATATAGAGAAATATATCGACAAATAAGATACGAGGTTAAGCGAGCAAAAGAGGCTTGGATAGTACGGAGATGTCGTAAGATAGAAGAACTACAAAGAAAACATGACGAGTTTAATATACACAAAAAACTTAAAGAAATTACCTACACTCAGAGAAAAAGAACTCCTCATTTTATGAGAAACTCCAAAGGTAAAATTATTTTTGAGTTAAACGAAAAAAAGGAAGAATTGACCAACTACATAAAAGACCTATTCCTGAATACGAGGCCAATACTTAATACCACAAAGTATACGAATACTGGTTCTAGTATTTTAAAAGCAGAATTAGAGAAAGCCATCAAACAAAGCAAAAATGGGAAATCTTCAGGCCCTGACCAAATACCATCAGACTGGCTCAAACTTCTAGACGACGACAATGTCTCAGAACTAACAAACATTTAAAACCATATATATGAAACTGGAACACTGCCACAAATACGGTTGGAGTCTACATGTATCCCACTTCCGAAAAAACCTAATACACCATGAGGTAAAAACTTTAGACTAATTAGTCTCATGAGTTACTCTCTCAAGCTACTTCTTAGGATAATTCTTAATAAAATAAAGCAGAAATGTGAAGACACAATGGAAAATAAACAATTCAGTTTCAGAGAAGGATTGGGAACTAGGGAACCTTTGTTCTCAATGCTAACAATACTTCAACGATCATGAGAAGTACAGAAAACCAAGTTAAAACTTCTGTTTTAAAGATTTTGAGAAGGCGTTTGATAGGGTTCAACATGGTAGGCTGTTTGAATATCTAGAAATGATTGGGATAGACGATAAAGATCTGAGACTTTTACAACATCAATATTGAAATCAACAAGCTTCTATTCTGGTAGACGGCAAAGAAATAGACAAAATTTGTATTCAAAGAGATGTTAGACAGGGTTGAGTGTTGTCCCCAACTTTGTTTAACGTTTACTCAGAAATAACTTTTAATGAAGCCTTGGAAGGGCAATGTGGAATTAGAATCGTGGGAGAAACTATTAACAACATCAAATACGCAGGTGACACCGCGATCATGGCTGAAAGTATAAAAGATCTTCAGTTCCTTATAGATCGAGTCTAGAGAATGTTCTAATAACGGACTAAGCATAAATACAACAAAGACAAAGTTACTTGTGGTTAGTAAACAAGACCTCGGCGCTATACAACTAATAGTCAATAATGAATCGATAACAAAAGTTAACCATTTTAAATACCTGGGATGTTGGATAAACGAGAGCACGAGACACTAAATCCGGATGAAGAAATTAAAACGAGTATAGAAGTTGCAAGATGAGCATTTATGAAACTGAAACTATTCTGAGCAATTCTCAGCTGAACATACAGCTGAGAATTAAGTTCCTAAAATGTTATGTATATCCTGTATTACTGTATGGATGTGAAACCTAGATTATGAAGCTTAACATGATAAACAAATTAGAAGCTTTCGAGATGTGGTTATATCATAGAATGCTCAGAATATCATGGGTGAAACACATTTCAAACACAGAAGTCTTGAACAGAGTAGGTCAAGGTGAAGGTGACTTAATAAAGATGATGGCTGGGGCATATAATGAGAGAAAGCAGATACAGGATAATACTCAACGGAAAGATCGACAGAAAAAGAGGAATTGGTAAGAAGAAATACTCATGGCTCCGAAAACTTCGTCAATGGACTGGCTTATCAGCAGATGAATTATTACATGCCATGCAAGATCGAGAATGATATCGGCAAATCATCATGGAAGCTACCCACGCCTAAAATTTGGGCACGGTACTCAAAGAAGAAAAAGTCTGTAGTTCTGTTTGCAAAATTTTTGATCTTTTTTGGCAATTAATGTTAACAATTCCCTGTAACGCCTCGATTGTCAGAGTGATTGCCCTCAACAATTACCCCGAAACGCTAATTCTTGTTTAGCCAAAAAAACATACGGCAGCTACAAGTATGCTACCGATATCTATTTTTTAACAATTTCATTATGTTTAGCAATATTTGCTTTAAAAATGTTTCTTTAAAAGCTTAATTAAAAGAACTTTCGTTTCTTATTTTGTCAAACCGAATTAAATTGGCTACACATCTTATAGGTAACGGAGAAACTTTATTTCTCCTTTTTAAAACTCTAATTTTCACTGTACCAAATAATTTAAAATATCGATCTGTTTTTTGACTCCTTTTTTAAATTGTTTAAAACAGGTGTTGGTCTTTTATTTTTAATAATCTCCTTTTTTGCTTCAAAATTATACAAGGAGAATTACTTCTCAACAAGTTGATCGATTACGTAGCGACACTCATCCATGTTTAATTGCACGCACACTGTAATAGGTACTAACTAGTAAGTAACCAAAACAAAAAATGGTATCAAGCCCACTAATATCCACAGCGCGCCCACGCCCTCGCGCTTTCAAAATTTTCAGACACGAGCCGGCCTCAACCGATAGCCGACGGACCATCACTCGAATCTATAAAAAAAATGTTAAAAACGTAACGTGCAACCGAGTCGCTAAACTCTCCAATATTTTTGTGCTTCTATTTATTATTAACATTACTATCAAAATTTTTCTATTGGTAAAAAATATAAATGAAGTTATCTCACAGTACATAGTCATAATATATTTATTAATTTGCAAGATTTTTAACTGTGGCCAATAGAAACAATGGTTACATGGACGTTTCGCCAGTGGTAAATATATTATATTTTTGGAACATTTTAAATGTGTTTATTTCGTAAAACAATTTTAACATTTTTTTGTTTTCAATACAGACTTGAGTCCTCTACAAATAGTTTCTCATGACTGTTGGCGTAAAATAATAATTAGGGAAGCAGGAATACAAGAGTTTAGAATTTTCCATCGATTTCCTATGTTTAGTGCGTGGTAAAAGATGTGAAGTGCATCACAAAATAAATTAAAAGAAATTAAACAATTAGCGAAACATCGATCAATTACCTTTTGCCTGCACTAAATGCTAGAAGTTTTTTAATCTTTTCATTTTGCGCTAATAAAGTGGCCAAGTACGCTGTAGTCCGAGGTGAATTAATATGCGTTTGTATAACACTTCCTGTAAGTTCTAGATCGCTTACTAATTTCTTAAAAGTGGCTGGACCCAAACAAAAAGATTTATCCTAAAATAAAATAATATCATTGTTAGGACTGGTATCGAGAAGGTAGCAGTAAAGCCTGCCGTTCAACAAAAACTAACACATGACAGTAGGTGCCTACCCATTTATATTAATCATACAATCAGCTATAGCCGAACAATCACCACTAGTGAGCGAAACTACTACTCCTTTTTTTGAAAGTGTCACGCTGGAGTATCAGTTCGTGGTCGCACAAGCGGGAAAACCGAAGTATCAAGTAAAATCGATGGTATATATCAGAACAACAATTATGAGTCTTTATTACAAGGTGTTATGAGCCTCAGTGAATACGTTATCAGATACCTTCAGAACTTATTTTTACAACGAATTTTGCAAGGAGTAAACAAAACTTACATTTATATATATCACGTTATTATATTATTATACATAACCAACAGAGATATATCTACATCGAAAATAATCGACGTAAGATGCCTCAACTCAGCAGATGTAGGTAGCGACCATAATCTAGTATTAAGTACAATAAGAATCCTATTTGGTAAATGTGACGATAATGAACCACTAACAACAGAGGTGATAACAAACTAACTAAGAAATTAATATTGAGGAGGAAGAGGAAAAGGAAGCATTAAAGATATTTAAAAATGGAAAATTATTAAAATTTGATTCATATTTATATACACAAGCATTTTAATAGAAATTCATTTTATTTACCTGAACAACAAACATGTGATTCTTGACAAAGTGACTTTTAGCTAACTGAGTTCTCATAGAAGCATGAAAGACTATAATTTGTGGGCAGTGCCTGTCCCATTTAAAAGTATGTTTATCTAATCTTGTGACGTCAGAAACCATTTTTAAAGAAAAAGTTTTTTCGATATCGTCGCACAACGATTGGTTGTCTCTAAAATATAATACATAGTATAAAAACTAAAAGTTATTATTTATTATTTTAATTTTTAATCTTTTGACCTTTTGAAATTATTGACTAATCTATTTGGTGGACTCTTCTGCTAAACCAGAAATCATTTGTATACTTGTCCTGTAGATACCCACTTTGGTATTGGAGAACATATATTATGATCTTGGATTGTTTTATAAAATTCTGTATTAAGAACAACCTATGTGTATGAGAGAAATCAAATTTTTAAATAACCAAAGCGCCGATTATATATTTAGAAGTCACTAGCAGACATTCAAAATAAAATAATAAGAAATCAGATAGATTATAAAGTAATTCGTACATGACACCGAAACAAAATCAAGGAACCTAAAATATATGGGAGTAGATGTTCCTTTAGATCCATCTAATAGATTAATGTAGTGATCAACAAGTTGTGATCTGAAGGAACAATTGACGTGCTTAAAAGCAAAACGTGTTAAATATACTTTTTGTCCAAAATGAGATATTGGTCTTAACTGTTCGTCAATGTCCGTTTTATAGGTATAATGATTTATTTCCGTAAAATCGAATTATTTCCAATACCTTTCAATCAACTAAAAGTTTCCTTGGAAGCATTTGTAATGTGGTCCTACCAGATAATATTTCGGGAAAGCTGCATAGACCGAAAAAAAAAAAAAATGAAGTAGTATTAAATCGAATGAAAAAGACTTTAGAAATAATGAGAAATGAATACTTGAAAGTTGGAATACTTCGACTATGTAATCAGGCAGAGAGTGGTACCACAAAACATCTGCTGATCTATTTCGAACTGCTACAAAAAAATTATTATTAAAAAGAGGATTGCCATCATTCGATTATCGGACATTATATTGTAAAAGAACTTCAATAAAGGAGGTGGGTTTGCGTTAGGAAGGGTATACTGCAGTAAAAACCTTGTTAAAAGGGAAGAAGCTAATCCTGAGAGTTGCAACAGCATGACAGGTAAAGAAAGAGAGCTCACCGATTTCATGCAGAGGAGAAAGATTGGTGACTTTGTGTGCAGGAAACTCGTTGTAAAGTCGACAGATATTTGAGTTCAATGCAACTTATTATATAGTAGTTTGACCAGTCACGGCAGAAATGGAGTACGTATAATTTTGAAGAACGAATATAAGGAACATCTTGTAAGAGTAAGCAGAAGAAGTGATAGAGTAATGAGTGTCCAACTAAATACAAGCTATACCAACGTGAGCATCATATGTACCTACAATTTAAATGGGGATAATTAATAATAATTTTAATAATATTAAAAATACTACAACAAAATAGCTTCAGAACAATATATGTACCTACGTCGTACAGGTAGGGTGTGAAGAAGAGAAAAATGAAGAATTTTGAAGGACCCTTGATTGCAAGATGCTCGAGACTCCTGTAGACGAAAAGTGTTTTCCCGAAAAGTGAATAGTGTGATTGATTTTGCAGTGGCATCAGATTTGGCTGTCAATACGTTCTTCACGAAGACTGAAGACCAGTATGTTACCTATGGTAGCGGGGGAAGAGTAAGTCAGACAAATTTTGTGTTGTGTAGAAGTCAGCTAAAAGAAGTTACAAACTGTAAAATGATAAAAGGTGAGTATGTAGCTAGTCATCACCGACCGATAATAGTGGATACGGAGATTAAGGTGAGGAGGAAAAGAAGCAAATAGTACACCAGGAACTAGAGTGGTGGATGTTAAAGGATAAGGATTTGGCAATAGTATTTATGATTAGAGTGCAGGAAGAGCTTGAGGAAAAAGATACGGTAAATGGCTAGTAAAAGACTTAAGACGTAAAACGTCTTATCTTGGACACATATTTAGACACGACAGGTATAACTTCCTTCAGCTTATTATAGAAGGGAAAATATAAGGCAGATGCGGCCCGGGTAGACGACAAATGACCTGGCTGCGCAACATCAAAGATTGGACAGGATTAGACTTTCAAAGTTTAATAAGGAAAGCCCAAAATAAGGAAGACTTTGCAGAGGTCATCGCCAACCTTCCCTAAGAAGACGACACCCAAAGAAGAAATGGCTGGTAGGAAGCCAACAGTAAAGTTGTGTTTCGAGTGGGAAAAAAAGTACTAGCAAACACATCTGGTAAATGACCTCCTAGAGACAAAGAAACTTGGTAATGGACTAATGAGGTGCAACAGAAGCTTACAGAGGAGAAAGAGGTTATAAAAAGGTATGAAAGGTCTTAAAGAGAGTAAGATACAGATATATACAAGGTGGCAAAAAAAGAAGCAAAACGCACTGTAGCTAAGGAAAGATCTTCTGAACAGCTGTATGAAGAGTTGGAGACACCCGAGAGGATCAAAAGGTTCTACAGTATTGCTTAAGCAAGGACAATACGTGAGCAGATTAAGAGTGCGGATGAGAGAGTTTTAAAAACCGATATTGAAATAAAGTAACGATGGTATGAATACTTTAGTAAGTTTCTAAATGAAGAACACTACAGGAGAAACAGAGGATGCGGGATCTCAAATGAGAATCTAATACCCGGGATAGCAAGGGATAAAGTTACCGGGGCGTTAAATAGAACAAAGAACGCTAAGGCAGTAGGAACTGATAGAATACCTGTGAAGGTTTGGAAGACACTAGGAGAAAAAGGGGTTGATATTTTGTGGCAAATATATGAGTAGGATATTATGAGGAAGAAAGGATCCCCAATACACCAATGGAGAGAGAGAGGTAGTGTAATGGTATCATTGTATTAAGAAAAAGGGGCATTCAGGACTGTAGAACCTATAGAGAGACATAAAGTTATTGGCGCACACAATGAAAATTTTGGAGAGAACTATAGAGCAAAGGTTAAGGAGAGAGACATCGATATGACAAGAACAGTTTATGTTTATGCCAGGAATGAGGACAATGGATGCTTTGTTTGTGTTAAGACAGTTGATCGAGAAATACAGCGAGAAAAAAAACAAAGCTACATTTCATATTTATAGATCTTGAGAAGGCGTACGACACAGTTCCTTGACAAGAGCTATGGAGATGTACGAGCGAGAAATGGGTTCCTGAGAAGTACGCAAGGTTCGTGAAGGATTCTGTCGGACTAACCGAAAGATTTCCAGTGACGTTTGGTTTGCATCAAGGCTCTTTACTGAATCCTTACCTGTTTATTCTTGTTAAGGATGTACTAACAGAGAAAGTAAGAGAAGGGGTTTCTTGTTCAATGTTCTATGCTGATGATATCGTGTTAGTGGAGGAGAACAAAGAAATGTTGGAGGAGAAGTTGGAATATTAGAGAAGGGCTATTGAAGAAGGAGTACTTAAGGTTAGTAGGTCGAAAACGGTGTATATGTGGTTGGGAGGAAGAGGAATTATTAGGGACGTAGAATTGCTTGGAGAGAAACTAGGACGATTAGGAGAATTTAAATATCTTGGCTTCTATATAATGGAAAATGGGACACTAGATCGAGAAATTGCCGACAGGATACAGGCTGGTTGGTTTAACTGGAAGCAAATGAGCGGTGTACTTTGTGATCTAAAAATCGGGAAAAGTTTGAGAGGAAAAATATACAAGAGTGTGGTAAGGCCTGTGTTGGTATACGGCGGCGAAGTTGGCTGTAAAGAAGATCTACGAAAAGAAGATAAAGGTAGCTGAAATAAAAATGTTACGGTGGATGTTGGGTAAGACTAGAAGGGACAGGATCAGAAACGACTTAATTAAGGAAAGAACCGGGTTGACCAGTCTTAAAAAAGATTCAAGAAACAAAGACTGCAATAGTTTGGTGATGTCAGACGTAGAAATGAAAATTATGTGGGACGAATGATAGAGCTATTAGAAGTTAATGGAAGAAGAAGAAGAGAATCGAGGAGAAGATGGATGGACTGTATGGCAGAGAACTTGCAAGAGAAAGGTTTAGGTGAAGAAGGCCCGATGGACAGAAATGAGTGGTGATGGAGAGTAAGGAACAGAGACCTCTAATATGATGCGCAAATGTAATGCGCAAGAAAATCAGTCCGGACTTGATAGGTATTTGTTCTGAAAACTAACTTAGTATTAAACGTTACTTTATTTTGCAGATATTTATCCAACAGGTTACAGGATTATGCTGGGCTTGCTCCGTCACTTTTTCATCTCTCAGATGTAGAGGTAATAACTCACTGAGAGATAATGCGTTGTTCTTGATTCTCAACCGTGCAACAGCTGCTGCCAATTTTATTTTCTGGGTCCAAAGTGCATTTTCAGCAAAAGTTAAACCATATGCATCAAACAGTTCCCGAGCTAAAGCAGCTATCGTTGTTTCCCGTTTATTGAATGATCTGTGGTACAAGTCATACATCAGAAGCCAAACTATCGGTATACTTTCGGATAACTGAAAGAAAAATACAATTATTAATTATTATATCATTTAGAAACTCTTTTATTTTATTGATTTACTATTTAGAAATAATAAAAAATAAAACAACATGGTCAGATATATAGTACATTTTACGAATTTGCGACTATTTTGGATTAGGAATGAAAGATTTGATTACATTCATTTAGAGCAGGAGTTCCCAAACTTTTTTGTACCGCACCCCCTTTTGTTGAAATGAAAGTGTCTCGCGGCCCCATTCCTTAACAATAAATTGTTATGAACCTAGGAACAAAACAAAAACATTCTATTCAAAACATAAATGTACATTACATTTTTCAAAAAAAACATACGTTTTCCCTTTAAACACAACATTTTTGCATCTGGATGATTCCTTTTTGTTGTCATACTCGGTTAAATGATCTATTGTATCCATTATTATTTCCTTCAATGGCCTAATTTCCACTCTGGGTCTTTTTGGAATGTGAGAAGAATTGTTATTTGGCGTTTTGGGACGACCAATGCTTGTTTTTATTGGTTTTCCCACTTTGATTAGCGCCTTAACAAGTTTTATTTTAAAATCCAACAAATCCAGTTGATCTTTGGAAGGTAAACTAAGCTGCTCCCTTTAATATTCTAGCCAACTATTGGCACAAGCAAAATCAAAGGCACGGTAAATGAAACGCAATGTACATTTTTTTAACTTGATAAAGATTTTATAATAAGACAATAGTTGATCTAGTAAATCTACAACTCCCATCGATTTATTATATAATTGAATCGCTTGCGGTCTCTGAATTGGTATTTTTTTCTTTTGCTCATATATCATCTATTTGCTATATATCATCTTTTTACTAAGTCTTCTTTTCCTTTTCCAACAAAATTCAGACCTACAAGCACAGAATTATTATTTTGCCACTTGAATAAAACCAGTTTCTTCATTATTTACTACTTCTCCACTATATCCCCGTTCTTTTGTTTTGTAATTGTTTATCTGTTGTAAATGAAGGTTGCTGGAATCTGTCAATTCTTATAGTTCCAACAGAGTATATATTTTTCTTATAAAGTTCTTCAAAAAGTTTGTAACTAGAAAAAAAATTGTCAAAGTAAAGATATTTTTCTTTTTGGAATATCTTTGGCCAGGTGCAGAACAACTGATGAACATAAACCAAACTCGTCGATTAACTCTTTTGGAATTTCAGTTGTTGAACCTTGCTAGATTATAAAGTCATAAGCAATTTCACTTTCTCCACACAGAACAAAAATTTTAATGCCCCATGGAGATGGCTTATTTTTTACATATTGTTTAATATTGAGTCTTCCTGTGAACGGTACAATGTATGCGCCGAAAATAGACAAAACAGGAATGTCCGCATCAATTTATTTATTACAGACATCTTCTATGTCTGATTGATTTTCAATTTAAGATAAAACACTATTAGCTAAGTGTTTAAATTCATCGTCATTATCTAAAAAGAACCTTAAGATCTCTTGGACTTTTGGATTATCCGAATTAAAACGTAAAATAAAAATATCGATATAGACCTGTAGTCCATTGCAATGAACATCATATTTTAATATTTGTTATCGACAAAAAACAACAATAAATCATCTATGTCGAATAAGCAGTATAAAAATTGATATGTCTACTATTATATAAAATAATATTTGGTTACATATAAGAAATTTACGACTTCAAGAAACATGATATTTACTTACGCTTTCTGGGGTATCGTGAATTCGCCATGTCACACTATCTTTAAAAGCGCGTAACTCGGCTATGATTCAAACTAAATTGAAAATTTTTATAACTAGTAGTAACTAAGATATACAAAATAAAAAATATGTAGTTGTGAGCAATTTACAGGGGTTTACTTTTGTTGTAGGGCTTACGTAAATGTACGTCCATTGCAGTGGACACCGGATCTAAAAGACTTAATGGTGAAATATCTCTTAACGAATCTAATACCAGTGAATCTGCGAAGCTGGATTCAGTTAGGGATACCAATAATAATTAAACTAGCTTCATTTAATACAGTGATGCAAATAACATTAAAAAATTATGATTTAAGAGGAGGTTAATGATGTAAATCCAAATCCAAATGAAAATAATGAAAATAATAAAAAAAATGACAGTAAATTTAGACTTAGTCTAATTTAGACTATATTACCACAAAAAGGGGTATAAAGTAAGTTAAGGAATTCAGAAGTTTCCATTGCAATTGCAAACGTAAATTAAATGTAGTCAAAAGGTATAAGTAGAGATTAGACAAGGATTATTACAAGAATTGCTTAGAGAAGTCGCTATAAAGCGTAAGCACAAAAAACTCAAACAAAAAGGGTAAAAATAAATAATTCTTTTATGAAGGATGGTCATGGATCTCCTGCTGGCCATAATAAGCATTCTGATGCTAAAACTCAAGAGGTAATTCAACACATCTTAAAGTTTCTAAGATACGTTTCCGATTATTCTCGATCAATAACTGGATCAGAATATTTACATTCAGACGCCACAGTTACAGTTATTACTCAGAAGAATGTGGACATCCAGTTAATATGCAAAGTACAAAGTTATTTTCATAAATAAATTCAACCTAAAAAGAAAGGCTCTATACGTGCAGTATGTATGATAACTTATCTACGCAGATGAAGGGTTTAGATGGAAAAAACCTGGAATCAGCTAAGAACTTATAGAAAAATAATCCTAAGGCGGCAGACGGTGCTAGGAACCTAACGCATAAACATTTTCAAGAAGCTAAAAATGACCTAGAAAAGGAATGTCTGCCATTTGATTTGAAAAATACATTGCCCCTGTCCAATATCCCAACAAATATAATCGGCAACTTTGTTTTTATAATGTTGGAATCCCCAGTTCACAGGATATTGGATTTTGTTACACATCTCAGGAGATAGGCTTTTGCTTAAGGCAACATATCCACAAGGAAAACAATTCCTGTAGCTGGCTGTATACCACGTATCACAAAAAAGAGGTTAGTCTTCGTAAATGGGTATATTTATTTAAAAACCCTTAAAAGGGATACATCAAAAAAACAAACGTTTTCGGACTAAACAGTCCATCATCAGGTTTAAATTTTAAAGTTTAAAGTAAAGGTTTAAAATTTAAAACAGTTTCCAGCTGTTCTCCGTTTGTAGAGGTTTACTCTCCGGCTCTGGAACTCACTTCAGCCATGTATGTTACCTGAAGTCATATTTAATTTAATACTGAACATCACAGTTTTTTAACAACATGATGTATAATCTTTTACAACTATATGTAATTTGAAGGGTTTTACCCATGTATTTTGGTGGCTCAGGCATTTTAACCTAGCAATTTTAAAATTTAAACCTGATGATGGACTGTTTAGTCCGAAAACGTTTGTTTTTTTATGTATCCCTTTTAAGGGTTTTTAAATAAATATACCCATTTACGAAGACTTACCTCTTTTTTTTAAGGCAACATATTCTAATTCATGGTAATTCAGAAACTAAACAATTAAACTTGTGATTAGATTCCTTTGGGGGACATAATCGAAATAGCAAAGTGCAGGATAAAAAATCCACCAATTATGTACCTAATGCCACCTGAACATTTTGTAAGTACAAAAAAATTGGAGAAATTACAAAAAGAAATGAATACTTTGGACAGAAACATAAATTGGTTCAAATTTAAAGTCATTGAAATAATAAAATCTTATCCGATGTCAATTTTTGTAAAAACTAGCCTGATCTAAGTATAATTTAAGGAAATAAATTTGTTTAAGAAAAAGAGAAGGCAAAACAATGACAATACTCGTTTTTCACAACCAAACACAACCACTGTGGCCTTTAGGAAAGCCTACTATCAAGAAAAAGTTGGAAAACCTCAAGTCTATGTTTTCCTTAAGACTGTTTGCAATTTTATAAAAATCTCACAAACTCAGAGAATGTGGTGGATGTCGTTGAAGGTTTCGGCTGCGATTTAGATGTTAAACTATTAGATGAGCAGTAAACAGTAATTTATTTTAATTGATACGGTAAGTTATGGTTATAAATGAGTCTTTTTGTACCTCAGACCATAACAAACAATAAACCTTTTACTGAAAACATTAAGATTTTATATTATTGACAATTCCAAATTTCCCTTTATATTAATTTTTCAATTGTAGACCAAGTGAACGTGTGGCTCATCGTCTTTTAGTACTCTTAATTTGGTAAAAAGTAAAAGCAGTCCAAGCATCATTTTTCTATTTTACAAGTGTATCGTAATAGATATCTTTCTAAAATATTTTTATTATGAAAATATAACCCATTTTTGCAATAAAATTATCAAACATTAAATGTTTATATATATATATATATATATATATATTTATATATATATATATATATATATATATATATATATATATATATATATATATATATATATATATATATATATAATAGCACTACGAGCCTAGTAGGCCCATGGCTTGAGCTGTTTTCCATTTCTTCCTATTAGTAGCCTTGCCCTTCCATCTTTCTATTCCCAGTGTTTCTAGGTCTTTCTCTACTTCTTGCTTCCATCTACTTCTCGGCCTTCCTCTCCTTTTTTTTGTACCCATTTTATGCATCAGAATCATTTTTGGTACTTGAGAATTTGTCATTCTTTCTATGTGCCCTAGCCACCTGAGTCTCTGAGCCTTTACTACTCCCACTATACTAGGATTCTTGTACATATCTTCTAATTCTTTATTTGTTCTTTTTTTCCATGTATTGTCTACTATCTTGCCTCCAAATATCTTTCTCAAAACCTTCCTTTCCCATATTTCGAGTATACCTGTTTCGCCTTTGTTCAGTGTCCACACTTTACTGGCGTAGGTTATCACTGGCTGTATAATATATGTTTTGTAAATCCTTATTTTGGCATTCCTAGATATCTGTTTACTTTTTAGTAGCCTGTTTAATGAGTACACGCATCGGTTTCCTGCCATTATTCTTAATTGGAGCTCCTCTCTAATAATTGGTTTGCATGTCAACATCGACCCCAGGTATGTAAATCTTTCCACTGCTTCAAATATATATGCTTTTTTACCCTCTACTTCTATTTTTAGATTTCCTCCTTTTTGTTCACTGTCATCTATCCATTCCATGTATTTTGTCTTACTTTCGTTGATAGCTAAGCCTATTTTCTTTACCTCTCTATCTAGCCTCTTTACTACTTCTTGTAGCTCCCATTTGCTTCGTGCCAGTATTACTACATCGTCTGCAAAGGCTAGACATTGGTGCTTTCTTTGGTATAACAATCCCTCTCTGTTGACATTTGCATCTCGTATGACCTTCTCCAAACACAAGCTGAATAGTATCGATGATAGGGGATCTCCTTGCCTTACTCCTTCACTGACTTCAAATTTTTCCGACATTATATTATTTATTTTAACTCTGCTCTCAGTCGGGGACAACGTTATTTGTATCATTCTTATAAGTTTTCTACTGATACCCAATTCTTCTAGTGCTTTGCTCATTTGGTTCCGTTTTATTCTATCGTACGCTTGTTTGAAATCAATGAAGAGGACTCTTGTCGGCAGATTTTGTTGATAACTTTCCGCTTTCAATTCTCTGAGCGTAAATATCTGATCTGTTGTACTTCTACCAGGTCTGAAGCCTCATTGGTACTCGCCGACAATGTTTTCTATCACTCCTGCCAATTTGTCCTTTATACACGCTGCAAGAATTTTGTATGCAGTATTCAATAGTGATATCCCTCTGTAATTTTGACAATCTGTCCTATCGCCTTTCTTATAAAGTGGGCATATAATTGCATCTGTCCATTCTTGTGGTAGTTGTTCTTTAATCCAAATCTCCTTTATTAATTTGAACATTTGCTCCTCTAGCGTTTTCTCTCCATATTTGAACATCTCTGCAGTTATATTATCACTTCCTGGAGTCTTGTTATTTTTTAATTTCTTTATTATATCCTTTATCTCGTTTCTGGTAGGGGGTGTTTCTTCTGTCTCATTTATTTGGTTCCTATGTTTCTCCGTTCTTATAGGCTGTGGCTGTTCTATCCTGTTTTCGCCATTTAGCAATTCATCGAAGTATTCTTTCCATCTAGCGGCTATTTCATTTTCTCCACTAATGGCGTTTCCCTCTTTATCTTTGTAAAATATTGTTTTCTGTTAGTATCCTCTTTTTTCATTTTTTACTCCCTGGTATAAATTTCTAATTTCTCGATTTTTGTAATTTTCTTCTATTTCTTTCAGCTGATTTTCCATGTACTTTCTCTTTTTTTTTCTCAAAACTTTTTTTACGATTTTCTTTGTTTTTCATATCTGTTTCTTGTTTCTTCCGTATCACTTTTTATCATATCCATCCTTAGTTTACTTCTTTCTTCAATTTCTTTCTGGCATTCTTCGTCAAACCAATCCTTTTTCTTTTTAGTTATATTTTTATTGCATTCTTTAGCTGTGTTACTGATAATCTGCTGAATTTTGTCCCAGTCCTTGTCTATGTGCCCTTCTAGGTGTATTTCATTTAATTTTCTATTGATACCTTTTCTATACATTTCTTGTTCTTCTTGCGTTACAAGCCGCACTGGTTTATTTGTGTTCTTATTTTTTCTTTTGCGATTTTTTTCTTCCGGTATCAGTTGAGCCATTTTAATTCCTAACATGAAGTGATCCGAGTCAGCGTCTGGTCCTCTGTATGTTCGCACGTTCTTTATACATTTTCGGTCTTCTCTCTCTATTAGTACATTAAATGTTAGGTAATTTTAAATATTTTTCTCAAAGCCCTTTGAAAAACTGCCTATATGTCAAAACAAGCCCTGTGTCACTTAATCTATTATTGCATATCAACACTCATTTTAATTAGGCGGTTATTTATTGACGGATATTCTTTTGAACCAGTATTACTACATCTTGGTGGCCAGTTTTATTGGCTCCCGATTTCAGGTCACTTTTTAAGATATTTCTAAGCGCCCCATGTGCTACCTTTTCTCCTCTTCCTTGCGTTGAATTATATTTATTAAAGGTGCAACTTTTATTAACCAATTATAAAATAATAGTCCCTGTACAATAAATCAACAGACGAACTAAATAGGTACGTTCGTGTATCCGATGGATTTATACACCTGGAAGTGCATTATTTGCCTTTTGCTTGTTAAATTTGACAGCGATATATAAATGATGCCATCACTTTAATCATGCAATATTTGCCGTGAGAACACTAGGACAAGGTCGTTTATTTCAGGTAAATACAATCAAACTTTTTTTCGTTTTACTTCATGCTTTCGCAAGTGGTTTAGAAACAAATTGATTGATGTTAAATACTTGCATTGGAATTGTTTGTTATAATTATAAAGAAATATTTTGCAATTGATGTAAAAATGCAAATAAAACATGAATTTTAAAAAACAAACGAATTTTGATTGTGTCGAAAAAACTACTTACATTTGGAAACGTTTCGAAGAAGCGGACATCATTTAGAGCTTGAGTTAAAACATTTTTATCTAGAACAAATAATAAATAATTACTTTGTTTCTAATAGGCTTACATCTAACCACAAGTAATGTGGAAATAACCATAAATATTAACTAAAGATTATATACAGGGTGATTGATTAGTGTGAGGAAGCTCAGTATATCTGTTATAGTAAAAATTACTAAAAAAAGTTATTAACAAAAATTGTAGGCAGCTTTAAACTCCACATATTAAAATTAGTTACAATCTTACAGGGTGTTCCATAAGATGATGGCAGACCAAACTTATGTTTTTTTAAATGAAACACCCTATATTTTATTTTAAATTTGAAATATGCTTCACTTCCACATTACAACAATGTAAAGTTTTATTATGTTGCACCGGGTATTTAAAAAGTTATAACCAATATTACCTGAAAATCGTATCAAGTTTAACTCCCTGTATAATTAAAAAGGATTGTAGGAACATTGATCTATTGCAACCATAGTTTTTTATTAATTGTTAAAAACTATAAAACATATCGTCGTTAGGAATGAAATATCTCCAATGTGAAAATATCCTAATTTTACAGGAGACACAAAAAACAGTTAAATAACGCTATTTTATATTGTATTAAATTAGTAATTGATTTTTTTGGCCAAACTAAGATTGATATTGATATTAAGGTGAAATTGATTCCTTAAATCAGTACAAAACATTAAACTAATAAAAAAAATATTACAAACGCGCACATTGGAGAAATGATAAATGATTGAACCGGTACATAGCAGGAATTTCAAATATTGTGTATGGCATGTCATAGTACTATACACTTTGAATTTGGTGTTATTAGGGGAAAAAGAGTCATATAAACAGTGAAGTGATTTGTATTATCTTTATTTTAAATAAACAAACTTCGACATGTAGTATCAGTGTATGATATTTTTACGAACACCACCGAAAGTATCATTTTTTTTTGTTGATTTTAGGAAGAGTATCGTAAAAGTGATGATGATCTTTTTCAATAACTGATTTGAGGTCTTGCAGATGTTTGAACTTGTCTTCTGATATTTCAGGAGGTGTCTTGAAGAGCGAGTTTTCATAAACCGACAGGTCTTGGCTTTCTCTTCTGTGTGGTAGTAGCTTCCAGTTATCTGAGTAATCAGTGGTGTAGTATACCTCTCCATTGGGACTATATTTTAATTGTCTTATATCTACAACTTGCGGATCTTTGGCATTTTTTTTCCAGGTCTTATTGAACGAAAGTTACTATCAATAGCATACTTTTTAAAGAACGTAAAATCTACGTTTTTAATATTATACGGATGTTTTGGCCGAGCAAGACGCATTCTAGCAATGTAATCCATCGGTGAATTAGTTGGAGTCTGAAAGTAATGTTCCAAAGTTACATGAACTAAATCTGCTTCCATCATAGTATGGCATTTTTCAAGATATAACTGCTGTATTGTAAGGGATTTTGCTCTTGCTGAATCACTTAAAGCACAAGCCAGAGTTCTTTTTCGATTTTGGTAGTTGCATCCATCTTAGATGAATAAAGAGTTTGATAGTTAGCAGGAATATTATTTATATAATCTATAAGACAAGATGTAAATTCATTGCTACTGACTCCACCATTTGCTTCATGCCAAACGTACAACTGGACATCTTCATCATTTAGAGAATAAATGGTGAAGTTGTGTACTTGGAGTTTGAGCTTACAATACGATTGGAAAGCTAATACTTTTGGACACGTTAAGAAACTTTGAATATCAACTGTGAGAACCAATTTTTCAGAATTTGCACTACTTTTTAATAACTCTTTTGCCCGTCTTCCTTCTTTCTGCTTTGACATGTGCTGATCAGAATCTTCAGTACTTATTGTCTTCATTTTATGTGCAACACACGTATCACATTGATCTTTCCTTTGCTTATTATGTATGCCAATTTTCTCTGCTTCTAAAACAACTTTAAACAACTTGATATGAGCAACTGACTGCTTTCTATCATCGCACCATTCTTTATATAGTCTGTACATGTTATTTGTTGTTATGATACTGTTGTCAACATATATTCTGCTAGTAGATGCTCTACAATAGTGTGAAGGAACTTTGGAAATATCTTGCAACCATTCCATAACATTATTTTCTTTGCAAATTTGTCTCATTTTTCTTGGAGTAATCTTGTTGAATGTTGGAATCTTGTAGACTTTCACTAGAAGTATCAATTTCATGAGTGGCTGGCTCCCTTGAGACCCATCGTTTCATTTTGTCTTCTCCTAAATTTAATGTGTTCAAAAACATAACTCTCGGCATACCTTGAGGTAACTTCCGTCTTTAGAAACAAAAAAAGTCACGAGCACTCTTCTTTTTGGACCGTTTGTCTGAATTTGAGTATCTTTTCGGCGCCTTTGCACTGCTCTTGCCCGAACAAAATTTTTAACATAAGTGCTTCTATGTTCCCACGACGTAAATGTCCAAATTTTTTTTAAAATTCGTAGTCTATCGTCCTGCGTAATTAAAGAACATCTAAATGAGTGTTCTTTTAAACATTTTGGCGTTATAATATGGTTACATCGCTCCTTAACTGACATGCCATTCCGTCTGGTAATATGTTGTACATCGCCAAAACACAAATTTTGCCTTTTTCCTGTTCCTGTAGCTGCAGGCAAACTGAAATAAGAAAAATAATTATTACCTACTTAATTTAAGCAATAATGAGATGAAAGATATCTAACCATAGTAGTGAATTTGTTTACATACCTGTTATTGGATTTTTCATTATAAATTTCATTTTCAATAGGAGCAAAAGTTTGGATAGAATGTTGCCGATCTTACTTAAGTGAATTTTGTACAACTATTTTAGTTCTTGTCTTGAAAATACTCATTTTGCACTGGTAAATAGCTTATTTGAGAAAATTTGAGGATAGGAATTTGACAGATGAAAGTATGAAATACCTCCAATGTGCAGATATTATAATAGATAATAGCTCCAATGTGTTTTTAAGCACATTGGATGTATTTCAGTCCAACAATTAATAATATGTTACATTGGAGTAATGCATTTTTATACATTAGGGAAGTTAGGAATCGGTACGCACATTGGATATTTTTCTAGACTGTAAAACTATTCATAGCGATTCAGAATCGTTTAAAATCTGAATTACTAGAAATTTGCACATTGGAGGTATTTCATTCCTAAAGACGATATTCATTTTCATAATATTCGTTAAATCAAATACAGGGTAAGTCAAAATGCAAATACATTATTTTCTTGGTAATTTTAAATTGAACACCCTGTATTTTATATCACTATCGAAAAGAACTAATATCGTACTTCATATTTTATAAAGTACTTCCTATACCTAAAGTTATTGGTTTTAAAAATATTTTTATTTTTCCATCAAAGTATTAATTTGGTAGATATTTTAACGTTTACCAACTCACAATATAATTATTGTGGGTTGGGTATGATTGATTTGTCAAAAACTGACAGTTTGACATTATTGTTTAATAATTTAGTAACGAAATAACGACACAGAAAAGAAAACAATTTATTTAAAATAAAATTTATAAAAACTAACCTACGGAAAATAAAAAAAATATAACAACACATAGAAAAACTAAAAACAACAGTAAGTTTAACTTATCTTACTTAAGTAAGGTGTTCAAAATTACCTCCCAAAACATCTATGCATGCTTGAAAACGGTCATTGAAAGAGATGGTTACATTACTAAGCATTTGTAAAGAAATATTTTGAAATGCAATTCGGATTCTATTTTTCATATCATCCCTTGTTGTTGGGGGTATTTTATATACTTCGTTCTTAACGTAACCCCAAAAAAATGAGTCCATTTTATTGAATTCTGGTGACCTTGGGGGCCACCTTACCGGCCCATCCCTTCCGATCCATCTTTCCCCAAACTGATTATTAAGTTCACCACGTACTAATTCGTTGTGATGCGCAGGAGCACCGTCATGTAGAAACCACATTTTCTCACGTATATTAAGTGGAACCTCTTCTAATAATATCGGTAACTGATTTACGATAAAATCTAAATAAATCTCACCATTTAAATTATCTTCAAAAAAATATGGTCCTACTACATGGTTACCGACGATACCTCCCCACACATTTAGAGACCATCTTGTTTGACTATGTGTTACTATGTGGTATGGATTACTTGTTGAGTAGTAGTGAAAGTTATGCCTATTAAAAGAACCGTTTCGATGGAATGTAACTTCATCACCAAATAGGACATAATCAAAAAAATCTCTCTGCTCATTAATTTTTTCTAAGGCCTATTCACAAAATACTATTCGTTTCTGAAAATCATCATTAATTAATTCTTGGTGTTTTTGAATATGATAAGGGTGCATCTTGTTTTTAGATAGAATGTTTTGAACAGAGTAGTAACTAAGTTCTTGTTCATTGGAAATAGTCCTTATGCTTGTGTGTGGGTTTTCTGTAACCGCCATCAACACACTCATTTCGTTTTCCTCTGTCACACTAGTTTTTGTTCGTTCATGTTTTTCATAATTCACTGAACCAGTGCGGTTAAATCGATCTTTCAATTTTTTAAATGTATCTTGTCCAGGTTGTCGCCTATCTGGAAACCGATCTTGATAAATTCTAGCTGATAGTAATGAATTTTTATTGCATTCCCCCAATATCCAGATCATATCTACCATTTCATCAGTAGTAAAATTCATTATTGCTAATTTAAATTGAATCAATTACTGAATTACTAAATAATAATTGTTTCTAATTTACGGTGCACCCCAATACTGAATTAATAAATATTAATGTCAAACTGTCAGTTTCTGACAAATCAATCATGGCCAACTCACAATAATTATTGGTAAACGTTAAAATATCTACCAAATTAATACTTTGATGGAAAAATAAAAATATCTTTAAAACCAATAACTTTAGGTATAGGAAGTACTTTATAAAATATGAAGTACGATATTAGTTCTTTTCGATAGTGATATAAAATACAGGGTGTTCTATTTAAAATTACCAAGAAAATAATGTATTTGCATTTTGACTTACCCTGTATTTGATTTAACGAATATTATGAAAATGAATATGTTTTATAGTTTTTAACAATTAATAAAAAACTATGGTTGCAATAGATCAATGTTCCTACAATCCTTTTTAATTATACAGGGAGTTAAACTTGATACGATTTTCAGGTAATATTGGTTATAACTTTTTAAATACCCGGTGTAACATAATAAAACTTTACATTGTTGTAATGTGGAAGTGAAGCATATTTCAAATTTAAAATAAAATATAGGGTGTTTCATTTAAAAAAACATAAGTTTGGTCTGCCACCATCTTATGGAACACCCTGTAGAATTGTAACTAATTTTAAAATATGGAGTTTAAAGCTGCCTACAATTTTTGTTAATAACTTTTTTTTTGTAATTTTTACTATAACAGATCTACTGAGCTTCCTCACACTAATCAATCACCCTGTATATTTTTCTATTCAAAACTAATAATTAGCAAGACTTGAAACTAAAAAGAAAACTTACAATAATGTTTGAGTTCATACAGAATTGCAGTATTTTACAGAAAGTCCCTATATTGTTTGATTATCGTTTGAAGAAAATCGAAACACATAAGTTGGAATAGATTTCAAGTCGCAGATCCTTATAACTGAGGAATGAACAAGGATATTAAGATTATTAACCTGAATGTTCGCATTTGTTTACATTGTTGTTTTGTGAAATAGGGATTAACTCCAATGTCAACCAATCTTGTGAAATTCTAACGATTTTATAGATTTCATTGAACAGTCTGGTTAACAGTATGATATTTTGTTCGTTCACCAATTTATATATCTCTATATCTACCTCATCTGGACCAATGGCTTGTCCAGTTTTACTACATGTAATTGCTCTGTGACTTCTGAATAGTACATCAAATCCTTCTTGGAGATATTTCTTATTGTTAAACAATTTGGGAATTTGTGGTGCAAATAGTTTTTCGATGTCTTTATTCCAATGCTTACAAATTTCATTGTTCTCAAATATAGGTTGATTATTATTATCAAGTTTAGCCATACGGCTCACACTCCCTCTAAGGGGAAAATTCACTCATCCCAGATACCTACGGTATCAAAAGAATTGAGCTCTGGTGGGACTCTTTCCGTGTTATTGAGCCTTAGGTGACTTGGTATGTTGGAGTATTTCCCAAAAATTTTCGTACACATCTGGATGTCGCGTGGAGTACAGCTTTTTGCATGGCCTTATAAACATGTTCATTTAGACGCAGCTGTTTTTTGTTCGCTAGGAGGTTTTTGGGAATAACACCAGTAGTAGATAGAACAATGGGTACTGCCTGGGTCCTTTCCATTCTCCATTGTCTCCTGATTTGTATTTCTAGCTCTCTATACTTAGGTATCGCCATATTAATAAGTGTTGTTTGCCTGGTAAGTTTATTAACTAGTATGATATTCGGTCTATTATGTGCCACTGTCAGCATTTCTCATTTTGGACTTAAGGATCTTTAACAATATATTTTAGGTAATTTTTAGTTGGAATAACCTGATCCTGAATGGCAAGTAGGAAACCCTCAGTATCGGAAAACATCTTTCCTGATGTCAACTAATAGTTCGACGCTGTATTGTCGACATTCTCTTGGCTGATCTCATTGAGATGTCGCCCATGCAGATGTTTACTCATCCAGGTGGGCATTTTTTCTTGCTGAGTCAGGCGGTTTATGCGCATTTCTTGCTCCCTCAGTTTAAGCGGCGTTGTATCATCTACTGCGCAAGTTGCTCGATGTAAAGTAGATGTCTCAGCCTGTACCTGAAAATAAGTTCTTAAATTAGCAATTTGTTTATCCAATTGCTCACCTATATCGATAAGTCCTCTTCCCCCTTTATACCGCGTTAATGTTGTTCTCTCTACTGCACTGCGTGGATGATGTTTTTGCGCCTTTGTGAGAAGTGTTCTTACTTTCCGCTGAAGACTCTCTATAACAGTTTTTGACTACTTTATAATACCAAATGAGTAGCTCAGCGCGGAACAGATGTACGTATTTAATGCCTTAAACAAATTTTTACTATTAAGATATGACCAATTTAGTTGTCTTACTCTTCGCACGAACTCCGAAGTTAGTTTAGTTTTCATTTGTTTATGGTCAATTTTTCGCTCTTGTTTTACTCCGAAATATTTGTACATATCATTTTCACCCCTTTCCTCGATGTTTTGGCCATCTTGCATATCTAAACCCTTGTGCTAAACCTTTCCTCTGTCTATATTTAGTATACGGCTAGTCCAAAATGCATACTGATATTATTTGAGAAAGTTTCTACAGTTTTTAGTATCTGATCTAAGTGGTTTCGAGTGGAAACTATTAATTTCAAATCATCTATGTACAACAGATGATTAAGCATCGCCACAACAGTATTGTTATTTTTGATGCTAAATTCTGAGTCAATGGAGTTCAGTAGCTGAGACTGAGAGTTCGCTAAACAGAACCAAAGTGGACTCAACGAGTCCCCTGGAAAAGGCCACGGTTAATCGGGATATCTTCAGTTTTGATATTAGTTTTACCAGGTATTTGAAGGTGAGTTTTAGTCTTTCACTCTGCCATTATATAATTTTAAAAGGTCACTAGATTATCATGGACTTTATATATTTTCAATATATCTATAAGACATTAACGCCGCGCTGAATCAAAGGTTCCTTTTTTTATGATGTCTGATTAGAAATGACTGAGTCGATAATAAGTTGTTCTATACAACCCATGGAGCCCTTAGCACATCCTCTCTGTTGAGGCTCTATGATATTGTTGAGAGTACAGTGTTGGTAGATACGTCGGGTTACACAAAATCTGACCAATTTGTACAAAGTTGGAAGATAAGTAATTGGGCGGTACTTGGCTGGATCTTGGGTGATATTTTGATCCTTTGGTAGTAGTTAAGTAGTTTCCTGTGTAAGAAATAATGGTGTTTCATGTGGGTTAGAGATAACATGATTAATCAATACTGACAAACACTCATGAATACTCCAAAACTTCTTTAACCAGAAGTTCTGAACTCTGCATGGTCCAGAAGATTTTCAGTTATAAAGCTCTTTGATAGTATTTGAGACTTCTTCGGTGGTGTCTTATAGTGTTCCACAATATCTCTTCAGCTCTCTTGATGATTTTTCTACTTCTTATTCCTCGGATGTAGTCCTTTATTTATCCAATGTCCCTACGCAATGATTCAATTTGCCCTAGTAGCATTTTTCCCAAGGCAATTCTGCTATCATTTCTTTCGATATAAGTACCCTGTCTTGCTCTGATCTTAATGCCCATAACATTAGCAATTGCTGTTGCTGCACAGTAAATTAGCATATGCAAATATTCCAATGTATGAGATGAGCTTCCACGAGGACTTCAGTGTTCACAATTTGTAACAGCGCACTTAGTTTCTTACAAGAGTTTATTTTTGGTAGCGGTGGTCTACTAAGGGGGTTTGTCCCATTAAACTCTTGTACAGCACGTACCATTTCACTTAGCACGTTATCATGCAACTCATTATTGTCCTGCTACGTATTAACAGGTTAAATTTCTTGTATGAGAGGCTCAGGAGTCTGCTCATTATGGATTTCATTAGAGATTTGATCTACAACTAGTTTTGGATTATAAATCTGCTGTTCGACTTCGCTTCTAATGATATCGCGTCTAGTCTCTGGGATAAGATTATTTCTTATAATTACCCGGTATTGATCTGCTATTTTCTGTTCAGATACTTGAATCTCTGGGTACTCCCTGCAAAATTCGGCATACAGATGTTGGCGATAGCCGATCGTTTCTTGATCGAGGTTCGTCACCTTGTAATAGAAGCGGAAAATGGTTTCGTTTATAGACACAGTCCATTTCATGCGCTGCCCGGTCGTTCCGCTTGAGTGAGCGCCGGCTGATGCTCCAGCGCAGCACCTTCAGCGAGTAGAGCTCCTGCTGGTGTTTGGCTCGCTTGTGGTCATTCTTGTTGTTGGGCTGTAGCTGATTGTATAACAGGGGCCTGCCTCCTCCACACCCTGCCACCGATGTCCCGCATGTTGTCACGTCCAGCGCCGGCTCCAGACGTGCCCTGGCGATCCCCAGACAGCGACCCTAAACATAAATCATTATTTACCATTTTCATGGGTTTGCATTTTATACCTACTGCCAGGTGTTCATTCGCAGGGGCTACGCTTGATAGAAGAACTGACAAAAAAATAAGAAATATCAGATGATTCCATGTAAGTTTGGTTGTGTGTTGTTTGCTCCTTTGAAAGACCCACTATCTAAACGGTTGGAACAGTATCTTGCATCGATGACTATATAATCTATTATTTCATTATCAAATTTCAAAATTCTCTAATGTATGTCTTTGTGGGGGAATTTTATCCCACCTATTACTATATTCTTAATCACGGCAAAGTTTATGAGTATCAGTACATTGCCATGTGAGTCTGCGTGTAGGCTCTCTTTACCGATGATGGGAGAAAATATATTATCTTTTCCGACTTGGATATTAAAGTCTCCCGCTAATATTTTAACATCATTTTTTCATCATGTCTTTTGCATCATTCTCTTTTTCTTCAATTGGTGCGTGAATACTTATATTGCTAACATTAGCAAACTTCCTTTAAGAATGGATTAAGTAATATAATGATAATGGTAGAAAAAATAATAAAGAAACAAGAAATTAAGGTTTTAAAAGGATATCCAATTCTAAAAGTGTTTTTAATTGCACCATAGACGTAACATGTAAAGCAATTGTAAATAAAAAAAATCACTTAAAATATTAAAACAAAATCAACTTACATCTGAAAACATCATATATTAAAGTGTATACTCTTCTCATTTCCTGCTCATCTTCAAAATCTGTTTGAAGTGGAGGTTGACTTAATAAGCAACCAGCTTTAGCTATATCACTAACGGTCCATGTTATTGTCGAGGGTCCTAAAACATTTGAAACTGTATGTCTTATATATCATTTAAGATGTTATTGCCTTCAACCGTTTCATATATTCATGTTATTTAAAAATTTCAAAGACACCAAAATAATATACATAAGGATTTAAGAGTTATCTATGATAATTACTAGTCTCATAATTATTGACCCTGTTGGCTCTTTTTTAGATTATCGGTTCTTCAGCAGTCCTTTCAATATATTAATGAATTATTCTAATTATTAATGAATTTACTAGAATCACAACTAGATCAGCAACTTGTTTGGATAACATCTAAATAAACATAAACAGTGAGATAGTTGGTTGTGAAATTGTGGACCCATATATTTCTGATCATCTTGCTTAATTTCTATACTTAAAAATAAAATCTGAAAAAAGACATAGTGCTAATACATACAGAATATATATAACAAGTAGTGGCATCCTGATGTTAAAACAGTCGTTAGATCACGTTGTCTGGGCTTCAGTTGTTTCTTTTAAAACAGCAACAGAATTAGGTCAATTTATTACCGAAATGTATGTAAAGTTAACTGAAATTAATTTTCCAATAAAAAAATCACGAAATCATAGTAAAGCTCCAATTTCGTGGTTTAATGATGAAATAATAGTAATGACAGAAAATCTTTCCACAGTCAAGATAATTGCTGATGTTACAAAGAAATATAGTGAGTATAAAAAGTTTAAGAAGCACTATAAATCAACAATATCATTAAAGAAAAACTGGCTTATGAGCATTTTTTTTCCAGTTCAGAAAATATATATCGTCACAGTTGAAAAGTTATAATTATCACAGAAATAATTTTCAAAATAAAAAAGTCTGTCCAATCGCGATTACATCAAACGATTTCAATAATTACTTTATTTCAGTAGCTAAACATATTAGAAGCTCTTTTAATTTCACAAATGAAAATGTAGCCATACATTTTTTGGCATAGAAAGATGTACACTCTCCTTGCGACTCTTTGAATGTTGTTGTGGCATGTTGTATGTTGTGTAAGACTAGATGTGTTAACGCAGATTGGATTTTATTTAATCACTACACATTCGTAACTATTTTTTAATTTAAATCTTTTTTATTAACTCAAAAAACAGCGGTTGGAAGGAAATAAAAAGGTTATTCTTATGTGTATTAACTACACTCCCCCACTACACTACAACAAACAACACCTACACAACCACAAACAACCAACACACAACCCACAACACAAAACACACAACAATCAGCACACCTCATCCAAAATTACAGAATCGAGGACATCCCCCAGACATTTGTCAGTAAAGACCATTTTATCGACTTATCAAAGACAACGATCTGATCCCATATTTAGACTCAATAAAAGTCTTTCCAACCCAAAAGGCAGCTTCCGTATGAACTACCAATCTTCTAGACCTCCAAGATCTCACGGCAAAACTTCGACAAATCACCGAAGATAGCGATATTTTCATAAATTTAGGTTTCAAATCTAAAAGCCCAACTAATCCGCAACACGTTCTAAATCACCAACAAAACTTTCACTTAGTCATTGCCGGCGTCGAAAAAAAAACTATTTCAAAAAATCATCGAAAATAATCTATCCGAAAACAAATCCCATTCACCAAAATAGTTCGTATAATTGCCCGCTCTACAAATCAACCCACTTCTTTCATTAGAGTTTTCACAAACTCTGAAACTAAATTCGTCGATTCACTGTCAAATGGTATTAAGATCGAAAGAGAGCGATTGAAATGCGCGATTCAACACGGTTCAAGCGGACACCTCATCAACAAATGTCCCGAAACATCAATTATTATCTGTCCATATTGTGGACAACAACACATGTCTACTACATGCCCCACCTAAACATACTTTAATGAAGGCCACCCGGCATATTCATCATTCGAATGCCCACACCGAAGAATCCAACCAAAAGATACAAAATAAACACAACCTGTGCACACTTCCAAGCAAATTCCCTTATACGACCTATTCTCGGACATAATCCCTAATCCAATTTACATTAATAATTCTTTTCAACGTCTTCCGTGAAAAGAGGAGTGACACAATCCATTATTTAAACCAAATGTCCAATGCATTTTATGGATATGCCATATCAACCTCCTGCTACAAAAATTCCATAAACCAAACCTTTAGTCAACTCCGCACATAAACACACAATACAACACACGCATTTATTGTTTATATATACACTTAAAATTTACCCACACTATCTCCATCCAAGCTCATAAATCATAAACCAAATAATTCCACAAACCCACACACACCAAACACTAAACAGTGAGCTTACACTACTTAAGAGTCGCATTCAAATCACAAGAACAGGGGGAGATTGGTTTTCTGTGGTTTCCCAATCTTATTGCATAATGATACCACGCGTTGGAACCGAACAAAACAAAAAGGCCAACAATCTGAAAAAGACCGTTTTTCCAACAGAACTTAGTAGCGGGCTTGGTCCAACCGGCACCCAAAGACAGGAAATCCTTCTGACACTACTACTTTACATCCATCACTTAGTTCCGGAGAGCGACAATATGCAAATTGGCGTTTACCCAATAAAAACCCCACCTTTGAAAAGGCGACAAAGCGTAAACAAGGTAAAAACACGTATTCATTTATTCATTTGAAAGTTTGAACTCGAATGCCTGCTTTTGGTAAATATAGTCCCTAAGAAAGGCAAGGCTAGTAAAAAAACATATAAGCCACAATGGCGCAGTCGCGTTTTTAGATACAATTAGCTTAAACACATATACCCAACTGGCAGCAAATATAATGAAAGAAATTAAAAGACTTCCTAAAGAGTTGTCAGAGTAGAACATCAAAAGCTGACTGACTTTTAAAGAGAATGAGCCTGGATGAGAAATATTTTTATATAATAATAAACGTATGTGAATGGTATTGATATTGCAATTTTATCTGAAACATGTTATAAGACAAAACACAACATTGTTTATAAGGGATACCAAATTATTAGAAAAGATCGTCAAGATCGTAGATTTGGAGGTGTAGCTATATTTTTAGGCCTACGGATAAATAAGTATAAGATATTGGATATTATAAATGTTGGAACATTGGAAATGTGTGGTGTAAAAATTGATTTTAATGGCAAAATAATTAACATAATCTCATTATATAAACCTGACAAGAATATAAGCACCCGAGAATGGGAACGACTTTTTAATTGGTGTTTGTCACTCGAAGGAGAGACGGTACTAGGAGGTGACTTCAACGCCCATCATGCGGTATGGGGTTCTCCAAAAAATGATATTGATGGCAATAGAATAATTGATGCATTAACTGATATGGATTTAATATTTCTAAATGATGGTTCGGCGACTAGAATTACCCCTCCAAACTCTACAAAATCAGCTGTAGACTTAACACTAATAACTCCTGGACTTATTGCACTAGCACATTGGCAAACATTGGATAGAACTCTCGGATCCGATCACTATATTATTTCCATCAAGTTGAATATTGATGTACCCTCTTATGTTGTCTATCCAACAAGGAAATGGAAATTAGAGAAAGCCAACTGGGAATTGTTTCATAGCACTCTTGAAATGGAACTGAAGAATGTTGTATATTCTGAAAACTGTAATGAAATGGCATTTAATCTGAATAGAGCAATTAATACAAGCAGTGAAGCTTCTATCCCCCAAAACGTATCCTTCAGTCCTAAACATAGACAAAAATCAATTTGGTGGGATGATGAATGTAATACACAGCTACAGCTTAAGAAGAATGCTCTTAAAAAATACAAAACCGCATCTACACTGATTAACTTTCTTGAATATAAAAAGATAGAAGCTACAACTAAAAAAATGTTTAAACACAAAGCCAAAACAACATGGCTTAAATTTTGCTCCAGTCTTAACTCTAGTTGCCCATCAACTCAAATATGGAAGATGGCTAACAAATTAAACAACAAAAACACAAACATCAAACATGCTCCTTCCGAAGTTGCAGAAGATATTCTACAGAAGTTATGTCCATCATTTGTTGACAAACATATACCTTACATGGCTTTAAATCCAGAAGAACATTATTTATTAAAAGAAATAACATCATCTGAACTGGAATATGCTATCAAGATATCCAAAAACACAGCTCCAGGTCCAGATCAGATTTCTTACATAATGTTACAAAAAATGGGTGTACTGGCTAAAAGACTACTACTACACATTTATAACTGTATTTTGCAAACTGGAATACCTCCTTACAAATTTAATGATTGCTTTGTTATATTAATTCTAAAACCGGGAAAAGACAAAGATAATCCGGAATCATATAGACCAATAACATTATTGTCATGCATTTTTAAAACATTTGAAAGGATTCTCAAATTGAGAATGGAAATTTGGTTAAGGCGGCATAATATTCTGCCAGCAACACAATATGGATATAAACAAGGCTATGGAACCACGGATGCAGTAGTTCGTCTGACTACAGATGTTCAAATTGGTTTTTCTAATTCCATGATAACAGGTGCATTGTTTATTGACATAAAAAGTGCATATGACAATATTGATTTAAATATCCTCTGTGATAAACTTGTGTTTCTTGGCGTTCCAAAATCGATAGCACATTTACTATCAAACCTATACAAAGAGAGAAGTGTATCGATAAGAGTAGGTCACAATATTATTGGACCCAAGATCACATCAAAAGGTATTCCACATGGAGCTGTTTTAAGTCCACTTCTTTTTAATTTGTACACATACGATTTGCACAATTTATGGTCTCCCAATATTGTTTGCTTACAATATGCTGATGATATTGTCATCTATTCACATAAGAAAACGTACAGTGAAAGCACTACTGAACTCCAACATATTATGTACAACTTGGATAATTGGACTTGGTTAAATGGTTTCAATATTTCGTATCAAAAATGTGCCGCAGTATTTTTTTCAAGAAAACACCCTATTAAACATCACGCTGTAACCTTACATGGCAATGATATTCCAATTGTTTCGGAATTTAGATATCTTGGTGTCGTACTTGATAGAAAACTGCTTTGGACACAACATATTAATTATACAATAGGTCGCTGCGAAAAAGGTATCAATTTTCTTAAAATGGTGTGTAAGAGATCGTGGGGTGCAGATCAAAACATTGCATTGAATTTTTATCGAGCCTATATAAGATCTATAATAGATTACTGTTGTGTGGTATATGGGTCAGCTAGCATTACCAATTTACGTAAACTTGATAGAATTCAATTTAAAGCTCTAAGGATTGTGTTGGGATTGATGAAAAGCACTCCAAATGAAGCCACCCTAGCTCTAGCATCTGAAAACCCACTCTCATTGCGCAGAGAATATCTGGGAAGCAAATATTTCCTAAACCAACATTATCGTGGCACTTATAATGCAAAAATAATTAATGAATTAAATACAGCTGATTTAACATCTACATACTTCATAAAAAAAAACTCTCCACCACTTGCAAGAGCAATTATAACTTGCAACGAACTGAAGTTAATAAATTCCCCTACTTTTATCTGGGAATCATTGGATATACCACATTTAACAAGTGTTCTGGCTACAAATATTACTATCCCTAAATACCAAAACGAATTTTGCTACACTACTCTTAAAGAAATCCTAAGTGGCTATTCAGATCATATTGTGATCTATACAGACGGGTCAAAATCACCAACATGTACAACCAGTGCTTACTTTGTACCAAAAATGAAGATTAAAAAATCATTTATTTTAAATAATCAATCCAGCATTTTTTCTGCTGAAGCATGTGCTATATACAAAGCCCTTGAATTGTGCTGTGAAAACCAGTGGAACAAAATTGTCATATGCAGTGATTCACTGTCAGTATTACACTCTTTACAAAACTTTAAATTCACAATCAATAGCAATATATTCATATTAGAAATTTTTCAACAGTTACTAAAACTATCAGATCCATATGGTACTAAATTTCTATGGGTTAAGGGACACTCGGATATCGTTGGCAATACTATTGCTGATTCTATAGCTAAAAATCCATTACAGCTCCCACATATGGTGATAGAAGAATTTAACACATGTGACCTACTTGCCTGTATCAAACAATATATCAAATTTAAATGGGACAGACAATGGATTCAGTTTGGTGAAAGCAGGGGCACTAATTTATACAAATTACAACCCACGGTAGATGTAAAACAGTTTTACAAATATATTACACTAAGCAGAAACACAGTGTCAAGTATCTTAAGATTAAAAGTAAATCATGGATGTTTTCCGAAACATCTACACAAAATAGGAGTTCTCCCAACAGACCAATGTGAGTGTGGAACTAGTATAGCTGACTTAAACCACATATTCTTCAACTGTCCACTACATCGTAATATAAGCACGTGGCTGATAAAAGAATTGATAAAAGAGGGATTAAGTACACCATTAAACGTATCTTTTATTAAGTGAAGACAATATAAAAATTTTTAAAATTATTATGATGTTTCTTGTGAAAATTAAATTAAAGGTGTGAATGTTAAATTGATCGTATGCTTGAACATTTCCTTTGTATGTTTACCATATATGTTGCCCACCTACCTAACCGTGGTTTATGTCTTGTTTGTTATAATAAAGCCGCTCTGATGAATCCCTGAGCGTGAAAAGTGTCCTCCTTGTACAATCCTGTATGAATGAATACTAATATTTATATGTAATTACGTGGCTAAAGGTTTCAAGCCAAAGCCAATAAAAAAAAAATAAAAAAAAATAAACGTATGCCGACCAAAAAACCAATATCCATCTTGGAAAGAACCTGTCTGTGGAATTTTTTCTTAAGAAAGGTACTGCATTATTTTGCATTAAGGTTGCATTATTTTATAACATTTAATATTTAATCTGAAAAATTATTTAAGGAAGCAATCGTAAAACTACAAGATGACATCTGTGGAAACAAATATTATATCCTAAACAATCTAAGACGACACTAGGTGATTGACCAACACAGCTAAACAGCTTCATAGAACTAAAAATCATGAATACCTAGAAGTTATGACAGCCTTTTCGAGAAGTTTTAATGCGTTAAAAATTATGGTACTATGTAGAGGATTACAAGAATGCCCCCACTTAAAAGTAGTAGAACAGAGAAAAGTTTGCACAATGTATTTATTTAATAATTTAAATATTAAAAACTCCAGATACCTTTTTTTGTTTGATGTTTACGGATGTATCTATCTACTTTTAAGTCACATTCAACAGTTTTAACTCTTGGAGGCAGTATGTTCCATTCATGCAGCTTTGGCTTCTCTTCCACTAAAGCCGGATCGTACATCGTACTAAAATAATATAAAAAACGATATTAAATTCTTTTGAAGTATTAAATAGATAAATATTTTTTACCTTAAAATTTATCCATAATTTATGTTGGAAACGTTCAAATGTAACATTGACATATTTCATATTGATGACTATTTAGGTTAGAAAAATACATCAAATAGAATATTATATACATTGGAAAAATTAAAGATGATAATAAATAAATAAAGAGATAACTCTTGAGAGGTAACTCTTATTTAGGAAACTATCTTCATACAGTCCTCTCTCGCTATAACGATATGCAATGGACCGGAAATTTTATCGTTAAAGGAGAGATCGTTATATAGAGAGAGACAAAATTCGGTATTGTAATATTAATAGTACTGTACTAAATAACCTATTTTAAATTAAAAAATTTATCAAAACGAATATAAATGAATTAACACTGTATTTTACCCCACATAGATTTATTAAAGAATAATATAAGCAATACAGTATAAACAAAATGACTGTACAATTAAAACATGTGTACTGTAAAATAATAAAATAATATGCTACTGTAAACTATATTTAGCCTACATTATCAAAAAAGTCTGTTACCTTGGTCTGTTTCCATTTTCCTTTCCACAGAACTGACCTGACCTTGTCGTGAAGACGCATATAATCTACCACGGTACTCATATCGTCTTCCTGGTAGATGAAGAATCGATACTGTACTTTTGCCGCAACCAATGCCTGCTGAGGGACTGGGTTCTGGCTCTGCTTCCACTTTCGGGTCACTGTTTTCTTCTTCTACACGAACTACTTGTAGGATGTCCTCGTCAGAAAGTCCAGATATTGTAGCTACATTTTCATCAACTTCTTCAAAATCTGTTAGCTCTTCGGTCCGTAAGTGATAGTAAGTTCAAACTGTCTAGCCCAAACATCTAATGGCAGGTCATCTTCAATATCAGTCAATCTTTGATCTTCCAGCCATTCTGGGTGTTTGAAGGAATGTCTTATTGTATTGCTCGCCTCCGTTCGACTCGCGGAGATAAGAATACGGCCGGGGCCAGAAGACCCTACCTGTCGTAAGAGGCGATTAATGGGCGGATAGGAGAGGTGGAGAGCCGTCGTTTGAGGTGTCGGGTTGGTAGAAACGTACAGAGATGCTGAGGGTGGTGTGGTTTGACTCGGCACGTACCCACCTGAAATTATTTACGAGTGGTAGAGGAATGATTCCTCGGCTGCGACCTGTCTCCGTACGGGGTGGTATTCCACCACCAGCGTGTCTTTCCGCCCCCGGGATGGGGGGGGGGGGGGTATGGGTAATCACGAAAGGGTGGCGTACCCGCAACACAGGTACTACGGGGGAGGTGGAGCCCCACGATGTTTCGGCATCGTGCCACCTCCAATTGGTGTCGGACTAGTAGGGGCAGCGGGAGCGCTAAAGGTCGTATGCCGAAAGGCCAGGTAGACCAGGGTCCTGTCAGTTTTCTATAATTGGGGGGCACCAAGCTTAGCAATGTATTGCTCGTCACCTTGTCCCAGGATTTTTTTTCTTTAAGTTCGATATCCCACTTTCTTACCGCTTCTTAAAAAATTTCCGAAGTCATCATTTTTTACGTTTTTAAAGCATCGTATGTTTTTCGACTTTTCCATCATTAATAATTTTCTCTTCACCAAACCTTTCATGCTAGCGGCCACTAAAACTGTAATGCGTTCCCTACAGAGCTTTCCGCCATCGCAATTTTCCGATTTAAATTTTTAAGTTCTGTTTGGTGTCATTAAAAAAAAACAATTGAGTCCGATCAGCATTGAAAATGTTGTCTGATGCATATCGTGCCTTTAGTCTAGGCCGCACGTTTTCTAGCTGATCATCCGTTACGTTTTTATTAATAACGTGAGCCTCTCCGCTGATTTGCCCTTAGTTGATGTTGTGCCGCAGCGTCTTCCTGGTTGATAAAGAATCGATGCAGTACTTTTGCCGCATCCAATGCCTGCTGAGGGGTCGAAGCTGGTTCTGGCCTTGCTTCCACTTCCTGGTTACCGTTTTTCTTCCTCTCCACGAACTGCTTGTAGGATGTCCTCGTCAGAAAGTCTAGATATTGTAGCTACATTTTCATCAATTTCTTAAAAATCTGTTAGCTCTTCGGTCCGTAGATGATAGTAAGTTCAAACTGTCTGGCCCAAACATCTAATAGCAGGTCATCTTTAATATCAGTCAATCCTTGATCTTCCAACCATTCTGCGTATTTGAATGAATGATTTATTATATTGCTCCTCATCACCTCGTTCCAGGATTCACTAGTCATTCGGATGGCGTCAAGAATATTTAGTTTAAGATCGTCATTGTTCTCAACCAATTCCATCATAAGTCTTCTGCTATAATGGCTTTTCAAACTCTTGATGACACTTTCTTAAGTCAAGTAGGGACTTTTATTGTTTCTGTCGAATGGTTTTGGCAACGAAGTGTTACTTCAGCTCGGCCACCGATTGAGGAGTATATTCAAACTACACATTACCAAGGTAACATCTCTTGTATCATTCTGATGCATACCTTGGGCAATGCTGTGTATACTCCAAGTATACAATATATGTTTTTAATAACCATCTAATAGTTATTACGATAAAATCATCAAAAAGTAAAAAGTATGAAGTCATTCAGGAAGCCATATTGGTCAGCTGTCATAAAATAAAAATTTACTCTCACAAGAGATATGGGCAGTGGCAGGTATAGAAAAATTGTACGAGGCAACTAAGTTCGACTGCGCCTCGTGAATCATGCTACTGTGCTACGCTGCATCAGAACAGTCGACCAGAGAGACGTGTTTTGAATTTTTTTCTAAATTCTCGCGGAACCCCTACAGGGGTATCGCGGAACCCTAGGGTTCCGCGGAACACACTTTGAGTATCGTTGTTCTGTATCATTATACATTTTATCATTTATAATGCAACCAAGGTATTTAAACTTGTCAACGCTTTTTTAACTGTCCACCAATATTTGGGCTTGGTTATGTTGTTATCTGTTAACGATGCGTTCAATATACACAAAAAAGTAAAAAAGATATAAGGAAGCATAAAGAAATGCCAAATAGGTAAACTTAAAGACAAAGATGGAAATCTTATTGTAGATCTAGAGAATAAAATAAAAAGATGGACAGAATACCTGAATGAATTATTTCAAGACGATAGAAACGACTTAACTCAGATAATCAATGCAACTGGGCCAGACATATTGAAAGAAGAAGTAGAATACGCAATAAGAAACACTAAAGATGGAAAAGCAAATAGACCTGATGAAATTCCTACAGAACTGTTGAAGCTTTTGAATGATAAATCCGTAACCATACAGTACTGGTATAACACCTCAAGAATGGTTGCTGTCTACGTTTATCACCATACCGAAGACAACTAAGGCAATGCAATGTTCAGATCATCGAACAATCTCCTTGATGAGTCACCTGCTTAAAATATTTCTTAGAGTCATCCACAACCGAATCTATCAAAAGATAGATATCGATATTAACGATACATAGATGGGATTCACAAAAAGGATTGGGTACAAGAGAAGCTCTCTTTGCCTTAAATGTCCTAACACAGAGATGTCTAGATGTTAACCAAGAGGTGCATGCCTGCTTTATAGACTTTGAAAAGGCCTTTGACAAAGTACGCCACAATCAACTCAAAGAAATCCTGGAAGGTAAGAACATCGACACCAGAGACATGCAAATAATATTAAATCTGTACTGGAATCAGCGAGCTAATATAAAAGTAGAAGACCAAACATCGGACGAAATAGAGATACGTAGGGGAGTACGACAGGGTTGTATATTGTCACCGTTTTGTTTAATATCTACAGCGAACAAATATGCCAAGAAGCTCTCTCACATGCCAACGAAGGGATAATAGTCAATGGATAAGTTATCAATAACATTCGATATGCTGACGATACTGTGATAATGGCAAGAACAGTGGAAGATCTACAACATCTAGTTGAAAGTATGAATGAGATATGTAATAACTACGGCATAAGGATGAACGTCAAAAAAACCAAATATATGACCTTTAGTAAGAATCCAATTCATGACACCAGTATCACAATAAACGGTACCCAACTTGAAAAAGTAAGCAAATACAAATACTTGAGAATCCTCATTAATGAAACAGGTGACCAAAATCACGAGATAAAAAGACGTATTGAAATTGCCAGGTCTACCTTTATAAAAATGAAAAAATTATTTTGTAATCGTGATATTAGTATTCATCTACGAACTAGAATGTTAAAATGCTATGTATTCAGTACTTTGCTTTACGGTGTTGAGGCATGGACTCTTAAACAAAGGAATATTAAAAATCTTGAAAGCTTTGAAATGTGGTGCTACCGCCGTATACTAAGAATAAGTTGGGTGGATATAATTACAAATGAAGAGGTAATACGCAGAATAAATAACGATCCAGAAGTTATTATTAAAACTAAAAGAGAAAACTTGAATACTTAGGCCACCTGATGAGAGGACAAAAGTTCTACACGTTCCTACAAAATATAATGCAAGAAAAGATCCAAGGACGCAGAAATCCAGGCCGTAGAAGATTGTCTTGGAGGAGAAATTTAAGAGAGTGGTTTGGCTGTACCACTAACGAATTATTCAAAACAGCAGTTAATAAAATTAGAATCGCCATAATGATATCCAATCTCCGATAGGAGAGGCACTTAAAGAAGAAGAAGATGTTTTTATCTTCTAACGACCATGAATTTGGTTTTGTCAATATTGATGTTTAACCCTCTATTAATAGCTCCCTATCCTTATTAATAGTTTAGGTAATAAAATATTCAGAAGAAGAAAAAGGGCATGTTTTCAATAGTGTGAATCTTCTGTCAAACTTTTACTACTTAATGCCAATTGATGCATAATTCAAGTTTTTTCCTCAAAACCATTGGGCAAGACGTATTTATATGTATTTAAATAAATATGCATCCCTTTATTAAATCATTCAAGGCATTCTAGAAAAAATATTAGCTCAAATTTGAACATAGATCATTTCGAACTGTCACGTTTACAGTATATACATTAAAATTACTTGATGTAATCAAAATTTATTTAACACCATGCCAGCAGATACCGAACAAGAAA